AGGAAGATTTAGAAAAAGGTACGCAAGCGCTTTGGGTACCGTAAAAATAGCGTTGCGATGTAAAACCTATGGCGATGCTAATTTTAGCTTGCCCAAATGGCTTGAGTACGTTATTCTAAGACTCCCTTATTGCACAGAGCGCGACCCTATATTTGCGCGAACAAGCGATCGTCGTGTTTTTATGCTTATCTCATAGAATCAAAACGCTGTTTCCAAAAATATTAGTGTCTTTAGAAGTGCTCATCTGGGCTACAAACCTAAGCGGTATACTTTGGTGCCTACTAAAACCATTTCGAAGTAAAATTCGAAAAAAAGAGCCAACGTCGTGTTCGCGGTATCAGTGTCGCGCAGTGTACATAGTCCGTTCCGCGCTTGTACGTTTTGGGAACCATCTTGAAAAAAACGTTTTAAGGGGTTAACTAGGAATATATTAAACTTAAGCTTCCCTGAAAGGGTTGTATATTTTAAGAACGCGTTGATATGTAAAGCTACTTCAGAACATAGTCTTAAACAGAAAAGGTGCGCATACCAGGCTTAGAACGATGGAGACTTTTTGCGAAGAGGTTGCGACGTGCAGGGCCTTATAAAAGGAGGTTGAAACGGGACGCGTTCAAACGCAAAGGGTGTTTCGGAAACTGGTTCAAATAAGAAGGGCGTTTAGGGAATAGGTCGAAACAGGACAAATTCAAACGAGAAGGGCGTTTAGGGAACTGGTCGAAACGGGACGGGTTCATATGGGAAGGGTGTTTAAAGAATGGGTCGAAACAGGACGGGTTCAAATGGGGAGCTCGTTTCGGGAGCGGGTCGAAACAGGACGGGTTCAAACGGAAATGGGTTGTTTGGGGCTACAGCCATCGGGCCGGGTCGGGGGGGGGCCTTGAAATTAACAATTCTGTCGGGCTCGGGCCGGGCCCGGGCCGTGTCTCTTTCGGGCCGGGTCGGGCCGGGCCTAGAAATTTACAATTCTGTCGGGCTCGGGCCGGGCCCGGGCCGTGTCTCCACCGGGCCGGGTCGGGCCGGGCCTAGAAATTCCGGCCCGTGCAGTGCTCTAGTGTAGATACCTAGAGCATCGAATGCAATTAGTTTATATTGATGGATATTCGTCAAGCTCGAAACGTATTCTTACTGGTGTTCCTCAGGAACGTATATTAGGTTCTTTTCTTTTCAATATTTACGTTAATGTTATTGTGAATATTACCTCTGATGCAACGTTTGCACACTATGCCGACGACACTAGTTTTTTTTTTTTGTTTTTTTTTTTCAGCTGAAAATGTCGATGTGCTATATGCCATGGAAAATCAGGCGTTATCTGCATTAACAATTTGGAGTCGTATTAATTCACTACAAATCAACGTCGAAAAAACAAAAGCAGTGCTTTTTCGCCCAAAACATAAGCTAGTCACAAATACAAGAGATATCGTTTTGAACTCTTCCAAAATAGAGATTGTAAACTCTTTCAAGCTCTTAAGTGTCATTTTTACCGAGAATATGTCATGGGATAGTCATGTCAACTACCTTATTTCTAAGCTGTCACAGGCAGTAGGAGTTATAAACCGCCGCCGGTGCATGTTGCCAGAAAAAGGTGAAATTATTATTATACAATTCGTTATTTTACTCCCACATAAACTATTGTAACTTAGCCTGGGGTACAACAATGTCAACGAATCAAGAAAAAATATAATTGTTGCAAAAAAAAAAAAGCGTTAAAAGGCCCCCCCCCCCCCCCTTTTTTTTTAGCAGTTTGGTTGGAACACGCGTGTCAAAAAAATAAATTTTACGCGAAAAAAACAAAACAAAAAAAAAAAAGGAACTTTTTAGAGCAATTATGACGGCGAGAGATTTAATTGAAATTCCGCTCGCGCAGTCCGTTACGTGACGGGTCATTCCGGAATGACCATCTCGGTCGTGAAGGAGGAGCCGATCCACCTCTCCTAAACGCGCCCGAAATGCCGAAAGAGCAAACAAGTGGAAAGGAGGTGACTGCCGAAATCGCGTCTTGCGCCGTCAATATTACTCTAAAAATTTTGTTTTCGCGTAAAATTAACTTGTTTGTCACGTGTGTCCCTACCCGGCTGTCAAAAAACATTTTTATTTTTATTTTCAGGGGCTTTTTAAGCCACACAGCTAGTTTATTTAAAAAGCTTCGAGTTATCAATATATGCTCTATTTAGCCATAGACTTGCCACCAGTCTAAAACTAGAACAAGTTAGGGGGTACAAACTTTTTGATACACCTTGGAAAGCTCTCCGAAAATTTTCACGCGTATTCTACCCGTCGTGCAGAATGTTGAGAGGTGGTCACTCCAAGAACGAACTATATGGCACACAAATGCCTTAAACATACTATCCTAAAAATACTTAACTTACTTGAAGATAAAAGATGTTCATTCAGTACATTGTCTATTAGAAAAATTCGACCAATTTTCTCCGCAAATAAACCTGAGCATGAACTAAACTTTTGGGGTCTCATAACTTCTGTCTGCAAATAGGTCACTTTCCTGTTATAGCCGATGATAAAATATATAATGTCCGAAACACGCTTTGTTAAATGGTGGTAATCAAGATTTGTAAATGTTTTTTTTTTTTCGTTGGCTTGTCAAGGATTTTGTCAAGCTGTGCCACACACCTTTTTTTCACTTTATCGCCACCATAAACCTACGATGAAAATAAAATCTTTATTATTAATTTTAGTCGAAAGCACGTAATTCTGATCAGTACTCAAGGTGTGCGCGAGCGCAGCGGCGCGCCACACGTTGCTCACAGTGCAGTTGTTTTTACAATTCATTTAATATTACTTGTATCACTGACATTGTTTTCTATTATCACAATGGGTTCGTGTGTTCGTTTTATTATGTTCGCTTTGGGGGTTTGACTTAACTGTGTATTACAGCGAGGAAAGTTTATTATACTTGGCCTTGAAATTGCCATCCTTCACCCCACAAGCGTTTTGAAATATCCGTTCTCTATATATCTGAGATCAAGTTCTGCATCCCATCAACTAAACATGAATAAAGGAATATTGACACGGGTGGTGACCAAAAACAATAGATAAACAGGAAGAAATAAACGTTTAATGTGGCGAACTTGTGCCAAAAATAAAAAAAAAAAGTACAAAAGGTAATAATAGAGCGTCGCGGGCGTCGAAGTCGGCGAAACCGCAGGATCGAGCGCTGGGGCGAGACTGACTCCGCTCGCCTTGCGGAATCCCTTATGTACCCCGGTTCTCGAATTCACCAGAACATCACATTACAGTGTCAACAAAAATGCGCCTCCGCGGCCAGGAATCGAACCCTGGCTCTCAGCGCGCGCTGCCTACTTGGCCAGCTGCGCGCGCGGCAATATTGCCTATTTCCATTTATTTGAGCATTTTCTACCTCACAAACACTGTCCCGAAAGCATATAAGTTGGAGATAGTCCGCGCTCCCCCTTTACTCCATGCCCCGTGCAAAACTGACTGCCTGTGCAGAGGAGCCAGCGGTCCGGGGGGGAGCCAGCGGTCCGGGGGGGGGGAGGGGGGGGGGGGGGGGGGGAGAGCGGGGGGCTCCACTCCCCAACCCCCCCCCCCCCCCCCTGTCTACGCCAGATTTGAGCTTTGTTGGCCACATAAGGGGCGTTATGGCAAAGGCGCGTCGGTCACTAGGCTTTGTAACGCATGTCACACGTGGCATGCCACCGAACGCGTTCCGGCTCCTCTACACGGGATTGGTGCTATCGCACCTAGAGTTTTGCTCACCTGTGCCGAGCCTATTCCAGAAATCGCTCGAACAAGCCCTAGAGAGTGCAGCGCAGGGCTGCTTACACGCTCTGCAGGCGCAGTGTCCCTCGTTCCGCGCTTTCACCCTACAGGGACATATCTACGACCACCCTCCCACAGGGAGCTAACTGGCACAGCCTTGCACACAGAAGAGATGTATGTAGCTTCCATCCGTCTCTTCTGCAACCTCATAAGAACCTCCATGAAGCCTTCAGACGCTCCTCGCTTCAACGCTCGCACCGGAAAGATGCAGCCTCTCCTGGCACGTACGCTACGCCACCTCGAGTCCTGCTTGATGCGCGCAGCCAGGAATTGGTGCTATCTACCTCTCTGCCCCCTGAGCTGACTAGACATTCCCGTTGACCCCGAGGACATTAGGGCCCACTGCCGGCAGGCCTCAAGTGTATTCCCATAGAGTTTTACGCTCCCTATCCCCCCCCCCCCCCCCCACCCCCACCCCCCGGGGGCCCAGTCTGTTTGTATTCATCATCGTCATCATACCATTCCGTCATTGCCATTTGTACAAATTCATAATAGTTCAACCTAGTATTGTGCGGCGTCGCAGACCTCTACGGTATGGCCCATCGGCCTTTCTACAGTGTCGCGGCTGTCCTGAGCAATAATAATAATAATAATAAAAATAATTATAATAATAATAATTATTATTATTATGTCACTCGCGCGAGAGATGCACGTCCCCTCTTTTTGTGTGAAGAGAAATCAATAAACTTTGAATTTGAAATTTGAAATTGAGGAGCGCGTTCGAGCAGAAGTGTGAACGCGCAAGCACGTGCAACCAAAGCACTGCAGTGATGCAGTCTCAGCAACAGAGTATAGTTGCGCTAAAATAATACTTCGATGCCAGGCTCGTGCACCAGTGGCCTATCCAGGGAGAGGCCAGCGTGGTTTCATCCACTTCAGCCCCCCCCCCCCCCCCCCCCTCCCCTCCCACTACATCCAGCCAACACATTCATTTTGACCCCCTCCTCCCCTCTGCACCCCTAGGCCACGGGCATTTTAGCCATCTCTGCCCCTTAACCCCCCCCCCCCCCCCCCCCCCCTTCCCCTCCCTACCTTTTCCGAAAAAAGATTCCTGGCGCCATTTTTGCTCCTAGATGACACCACTGTTCAGTCAAGACTCAAAAGCCAGCAAAGATTTAAGAGAGGGAGCAACTCAACTTCTAGAGAGTTTTTGTAGTTTAATGGCGGAAGCCATTAAATAGCAAATTTAAATTCTTGACGTACCCGTGCGTGCGCCAGTGCATAGTAAGTAGCATAGGCTAAATATAAAAGTAGGCTGACTCAACGTTCGTCGCTTTCGCGGTGCCACCTCCTCGCAACTCATCGACGTGACTAGATTGAGTAGTTGGAACTACTCTCAAATCTAGGTGCATTAGTCACCCTCTCAATTTCTTCTCGTCTTTCCAGCCTTTCCTCCTTTCCAAGCAATGGTAACGCAACAGTCAAGTGGTGGGACGGGGCGGTGCTGATATTTTTTTTTCTGCCGTTGATGGCCGCGTGTTCGGCTGGCGGATTCTCCATCAAATTTGCGGCTTCCAAAGACACTTCCTCGACTATGTCGACCGTGAGTATCGCTTCTTTGCCAACATACAATCACGGTGCTCACTGACAACATCGGGTTATCGAGAAAAGTTTTACTGCGAACTTTGTTCGCTATTCCCGATCCTCACGAGTTACCGCTTTTCAGGCGTGGGCCGCCGCGCTGCTCGTCGTTTTCTCCTGCGCTGCGACAGTAAGTATTACTTACTTCGCTCTATTCTGGGTTTGAAGTGTTCGGACTTATTCGCGTATTCCTTTTAGTAAGCTCTGCTAGATTCAGCGTAGGTGTTGTCGATTTCGTCTTGTAAGACTTGGAATCTTACACCAAGAACGGTTCACGTTTCGTGCGCGGCTTCCGGCGCATTCTTGCGAAATGCCTTGAATTCTAACCAACTATATCGATGTTTCATTTCTTTGTAGATAACTGTGCAAGGAAAAGCTATTGGTGAGTATCGTGCAAACGTTACACTGAGCAGTGCCTCGCGGCGCGCGCTCATTGCGTTACGTAGCTGGCACATGAGGAAACTGGGCGGATGCAAGCGTGCGAGCGGCAAATTGGTTCTCATGAAGCTTCGGCTTGCTTGCTTCGCACGCCTAAATCGAGTTCGGTTCAACGAAGTTTGCATTAGTTCTGTATGCTATTTATTTTATTATTATTATTTTTTTTTTTTTTTTTTTATTTAGAGAATCACTTGGACATCTGCAGCGGAGTGGTGTGCAGGCCCGGTAGGACCTGCCAGATACTCGACAACGGGCTTCCATCCTGCCAGTGTGTTCACCACTGTCCCGCCACAACAAAGCCCGTTTGTGGTAGCAATGGAGTTTCGTACGAAAACCACTGCTTGCTGCACAGAGATGCCTGCCTTCGGCAGGTCCACATATCCATCAAGCACAAGGGGCTCTGCAAGAGATGTAAGCAATTTGTTACTTAGCGAGTCTGCGACTTTCTGTGTCTGTAACGGGAGCATGATCATAAACTCCAAAGAAAACCAGTGCCTTGTTTTCTCTCCTATGTTGCCACGGCGTAAAATGAGGGGAACGGAGGTATTCTATGTAAACAAAGTATTCAGCTTTTATTTACCTCGACATATAATATAGGCTGATCAAAGTCTCCAGGCTCGATCTAAAATTGACCGTAAAAAATCGACGCCTGCATGTAGAAATCTAAACTTTTCGTCAAAGGTGTATTTTACAGGTCGGTTTTTTCTTGTAAAATTACAAAGCGTAGCTCTCTTTTTGTAAAAAGAAGGGCCAACAAACTTGCCAGGGTCTATGGTGGGCGGCGACGCTGACGACCATATCCAGTAGGTGGGTGTGTTTGGCATTCGTATTGATAGATGGCGTAGGGAACAGCGTCCGAAGGTGCAGACGACACGCAGGCAAAATCTGTTGGCAGCAAAAGCACCGTCGTTACTTCTTTCTTTTTTTTTTTTTTACTTTAAAGCTTTGCTTTTATTGTCTGCATTTATTTTTTAACCAATAGCACATTTCAAAAAGATTATGTTCATTTTAATAAACCACGGTGGTTGCGAGCCGTCGCGATAAGGGCGTAGCGCCATCTATCAATACAAACGCCAAACACACCCCGCTACTGGACTTGGTCAGCTGCGTCGGCGCCCTCCGTATACCGTGGCAAGCTTCTTGGCCCTATTTTTTACAGAAAGAGAGCTGCACTTAGTAATTTTACAGCAAAAAACCGACCTGTGAAATACACCTTTGACAAAAAGTTTAGATTGCTACATGCAAGCATCTATTTTTACGGCCCATTTGAGATCGAGCCTGGTGACTTGGGTCACCCAATATATCTCTCACACTAACTCTTTTTTTACCAGTAAATCAATCGGTATATCAATGTATAGACAGGCCTGACAAGCTGGGCTTGACTGACAGTACCTGGATCCAAAATACAAGGAGCTGCTTACAAAAGGAGTAAAAATCAATATATGGTGATCACCTTTCTTTGAACAAATATTTAATTGAAAACACCCTTTCGTTAAAGTTTTAGCGACTGTATGTGCCATGTAACATTTCAATCCTGTTTAGCACTTCACTTCCTTGAGTGAGAACGCCTTTAAGTTGGGGCAGCTATTGTGAAACCTACCACGAGTCTTTCATTAAAATGTGACAAGCGGCAACCAGACCTGTTCTGTGTGTTGCCGAACCCATTGATACTGTGCTGTAACAAGCTTGATATCTCCCTGTTTGTTTTCTACAGCAAAGGTGAGGCCACCTCACCACAAGCATTCACAGAAGCCAGGTAAACATAATTGACTCCATTCACTTTTCCTTTCTTTAGCCGAAAATCAAACTTTGTCACTAAAGGACCCATTTATTTATCAAAAGTGACAGTTCTCGGCACATGGGATGTGCAGATGAAAAGGCTATATTTAGTATCATATTTATTTACTTTCACACTGTCATGGCCCAAAGGTATTGGAGTGAGGACTGGTTTAATATAGCTGTAATCAGCAACTCCCTTGAATTTGCTAAAATGGGGCTAGCAAATGTTGCACCCAGAGTTCGGTATTGGCGTGTATGTTAGAATGGTAGCAAGTAGTTTCGATGTGTACCCTCATGCTTATACTTTCTAATAATCAGATTCACCCCTACAATACTCTCCTCGGTAACTCAGAGGCAAAGATCTGGCCTATAGAACCGCAGGTGGTGGATTCGAGTCCCGGCCAAGGTGCCCGCATTTTGACGGATGCTTTGTTGTGGAAAAGACACCATGTAACAGATTTCGATTGCACGTCATTAGATCCCCCACGTTGGTCAAAATTAATCCTTGGTTCTCCGCTGGGGCGTGCCAGATACCCCTTGTTGGTTTAATGTGTAAAATACCCAAAGTTGACTTTACCCCTATTCCTGTGCAGTCATTACAAAGTGGTAAGGGCAGGTTTATATGCAAGGTCGTGTTAGCCTTCACAGTTGTACTTGGGGAAACTGGATTGATTTAGGCGGCTAGAGGCACCTTGGAAAGAAAATAGGAAAGATGTGAATTGAGTTCTGTGTCATTTAAGGCTTCCAAGTGCAGAGATGCAAACCCTATAACGTTGTTCCTCCTCACTGTGCAAATTTTTTAAGAGAAATGTATGCTTATTTTTTCGTTTTAGTTCAGTTCAGCGGGGCTTTCACTCAGATGTGTGCTTTAGTGCCTGAGCCTCTTCCAGAATCTATTCTTAGTATTTGCCATGTATGACCTGACAAATGACTTCAAGATGTTAAATGATCTTCACAATATGGTACATATATCTTTAGTCCTTTGGCAAAGCATGAATCCCAAACAAAGAAGGAAACGTCGGTTGACTTGTGATTAGGTAGTGGAGGCCCAAAATTCACCTTTGCCTGAAGGTGGGATGTTTAACAGTTTACGCAGATGAGCTTTTTGAGTACAGTGTCATTAAAATGACTGTCTGCTCTCTCTTTGCAGTTGTTTGCCTCCAACATGAGAGAGACAGTCTCCGCAGGAAATTTGTCGAGTTGCTGGAGGATAAGGTAAGCATTTGGACACTTCTTGTTACATGTCGAAACACGGCAGATTTTTGTAATTTAGAATAACCTTAGCTGATGTAATGTAAGGCATGTGTAGGCATTGCCAAATATCCATTCCTAACCTGACAGTTATTTCAAATCTTGGGCATTTCATTAGTCTTTTTTTACCATCACTTATGCAGCCTACATTCTTGAATGCATGCTATGAATGCTTCACATAAGTAACTACGTGAAACCTAATATTAGAAAAAAGCTGATGCATCTTCCTTTTTACACTCATCTTGGGCGGTCTTCATAATGCTTGTTTTTGAAATAATTTTTTAGCAGACGTGCATGGCAGTATAAAACATTATTTCAAAAAAGGCCACATAGTATATCATTTACTAAACGGCTAGTGTCAATTAGCCTGGATTGTTTCCTTTCATTGACTTGACTTCCCATTACTTCTGACTCCTGGACTTGTTAATGTGGGCTGCCTATGTTTGAAGACTGCAACATCATTTACTGTGCCTTCAATAGAGAGTACCTTGTTTAGGCTTGCTTTATTCACTGACCTTTGTTTTTTCTCTTTTGCTTTCTGGCAGATGGCAGGTAAATTATTTATATTCTCCTTACACGTTTATGCCACTTTCAATCAAATAATAATACCTTTATAGTACATCTACAGTCATTGCACATAATGTTTTGCATGAAGTGTCTAGAAGAGCTAAATATGATTTGGGCATGCACTGACTACATATTTGTTGTTACGCTTTATTAAGATAAGGATGGCGCAACGGCCTGGAGGGTGACTACAAATATATTCTTTATAAGATACTGAAGTAGTGATAAAAATTTAATCTTATGATGGAGACCCGTGACTGGGGGGGAGGTAACCAAAAAGAACAACTTGTGTGTTGCGCATACCTTCTGTGTTTTTCAGTCTTGGCTGTCTATTATGAACCTATACTGGCTTACCTCCATTATTGCTTAACTTTATTGTTGCATCATATAGCACATCAATATTCAACAATGCTTACAAGGTTTAAATTGCTACAATTCCTGTCTAGGCCCAGGTAATAATTAAACAATAAATGAGTCAACACTGGTGGTGCCATGTGTACAGTGGGAGAGGAAAGAGATACATTCATGTCTCTATATCCTGTAGTTTGCTATGTCGGATTCAGCTGTGGGTGACATCTCTCTTGAACACTCAATGCAAGTTTCAGGAGTTTTAACTTTTTTTCATTGATGGTTCTCACTTTTTCTCAACAAAGCAATGCAACCCACTTTGCAAATAAAGCTTTGTCCGAAATTCTGGAGAAAATGAATGGTGATGGTGATTGGTCTGAGGCATTTTAGAATGCTTTTTGGAGCAGTAAAGGGAACTTTTGGAGCATAAGCACACACTTCGTTTTCATTCCGACCACTGAAATAAGGAGTATTCACTGGCAGCCATAGCTGTTTGCGCATCTGATGAGCGCATGCTGATAGCGAGCTTCCACATTCTTTTGCAACATGCGTTCTGCACCATTAAGATTGCCGGTTTTAGCATCCTATTAATGTGAGGTTGTTCTGAGCGTGTGCTCTCAACATCTCCCTCAAATATGATGTCCAGTGAATACCCTCTATGTCATATGTTATAATTCATGCTTTGGCCTGTCTATCGAAAGACATTGTCTATTTGCCTTCCCACTTATGTGCAACCTTCTGTTGGCATGAATTGCATGGCAGGTTTGATTCCCTCAAACACCTTAAACACAGAACTAGCTAGCTCTCCAGTTGTGAGTAGAAGCACCAGTCGCAACAAAAATATGCTAAGCAAAAGGTAAACCAAATTATATTCCACGAAAATAATGTTAGAACAGAATAGTGAGCGCCCAAATTGATGTCTTATCGAAGTCCCATAGAGTTATTATAATGCACGCTAGAGGTTCAACTGGCGCTAGTGTGCTGCTGCAGATTGAAGCAGACAGCAACCAGTCGGAAATTGACTTCCGGCAATGCTTTTCTATGGAAAAAAGCGGGTACATTTTCTCTCTGCGCTCGATTACAAGAGCAAATATCATGAACATTTCGCACGTACTAGGCACATTGGAACATTCCTCAGTCACGCAGACAAAATAATTGGTCAGTTACGGCCTTTTTATTTGAAGTTCGTGGCATGAAAAACGGTGCTAAAACCGTTTCGTACACGTATTTGTGTGCACTGTCGGACACTGTTAGCGCGAACACGGCGTCGGCGCTTTCCGCCATGGGGTATATACGTGTCAAACGAACGAAGGACATGTGGAAAACCAAGAGAGACGGCAAAAACTACCCAGTACCACTGGATAAGTAACTCCGCGTGCATATGCAGGCGATAAAAATAAATTGCAAGCCATGCAATATAGTCCGATTTGCAATAAATAAGTATTACATTATTCTCTATGCTCGTGATAATGTGCGAAGATGCATCGTTATGGGTTCAAATCATCAACCGCATGCTTCAAATCTTTACAAGTAGGGAGAAGTCAGGGAACAGGTGCCCGATAAAAACTGCCTGAGATAGGAAATAATAAAAAGACACACCTTTCGTAGCCCTCATACTTTATTTTTTTACATTCGAATGGTCTTTAACCGATCGTAAAGATGCACGACGGAGTCATATTCATAGAGTGACAGGACGGGCATATTAGCAATATATAAGCGCATCCGGAATGCTAGCGAACCTTGAACACACTCTACATTCCTTTCGGTCGTTATTTAGCTCAGAATCGTCGCTCGCTTTTACATACCTGCCATGGTACAGAGATTTGGGCCTGAAATACAGCGACGTTTAACATCGTTCAGTGGTAAAGAAAAATGCTGTAACTAAAGCAATTACACTTTTACAATATTAGTAAAGGTACATACTATCCGGTACAACCGAAGTAATAAAAGTTATTTATGTTATTTTCCGGCGAAGAGACAAAATTCAAGCGCGTTTTCCCATAGGAATGCACAGGAGCTCCGCAAAAGTAGACTGGTTGCTGTCTGCTTCAATTTGCCTCCCGGAAGTCGCATAGACACTAGCGCCAGTTGAACCTCTAGCGTACATTATAATAACTCTATGCGAAGTCCTAAAGGTTGTAATAAGACTGAAATTAATTCAGGAAAAAACAAAGCTTTTGTCATTTGGTTATAGACATTAATTACATTTTATATGTAGAACTAATAACAAAACTCGGCATGTTGTGAATAATAAATAAACTAGAAATAGTCTAGTTGAACTCATTAAGGTTAGTAACTCCCAAATTTCCTGCCTCTGCTCAAGCTAATTTAGTTTTAATTTATTCCATTCACTGTGCCATCATACAGATGAAACCTATGTGAAGGTAATTAGGGGATCACTAAACAAGGAGTTGACATAAAAATATAAGCTTATGGGCCGTACGATAGACCTTCCCGCAGTACAAAAGTATCCTTGCTAAGTCTCTTTTGAAGAGTTGCCACATACACTACTTATCTAGTTCTTTTTTTTTTTTAAATATACCTGATGTTTGTGTGTGCAATGTCACGCTCTGGAGGAGCGCTTTCCCCTTAGCTCGCAGCTGTGCTGCGGCAGAGCGAGATACTCAAAACTGTGATGCCTACTCTGCAATTCTCGCTTCATTGCAGTGCACCAGTGTGCGCTTATGAGCGCACACTGGTGCATGAAGCTACCTAACTCACCGGAACAGACCACGCGCATGAAGTCTAAGGCGTGGCTTCCAAGTACTGTGAGTCATTGAGTAGTGACTTGTTTGAGGCGATAATCTAACATTCCGAAGATTCTGACAAACTTACCATAATGATCTGGCCATGTAGCGGGCCGTCGGCTATTATATTTTCAGTATTAATAAACCAAAATTATCTGTTAGCACACATTCATCACATTTTGCCAAAATGTAGCAGGATCTAGCAGAGTAAGCACTTTGGCGCAACAATCACATCATTGATGAACACTCTGTCAAGTTCCCCCACCAGCAAAGAGAATTTGTGTTTGAAAAAAAGCTTCAGAATTGTCGAGTGTCACTGTGATCACTTTCATTGATCAGCTATACAAAACTAGTATTGCAAAAGTCTGTCAGTAAATGCTCTAGAAACCTTTGACCCAAATTATTTCTGGCATAAAGATATGTTCAGCAAGTGCCTTTCCCCACTTTACCCACCCTCTTCGTTGACTATAATTCTGAATGATGCATACTCGGTAAACAACTCTCCACTGAGCTCCTTCCGAAAAAAAAACAAGTTGTTATACAGTTGTGTCTCGTTAGACCCGGTTCATATGGATACCTCGCTACGTGAACACCGTTTTCAGGGACGAACTGGGAAAATGCATGCATTTTTGTCTCATTAAAATGGACAACTGTATGAGCGATTTTTTTGGGGGAACGAAGCTGTCTACATCACTGTACCTCATTACCAATAATTATCCAAGTTTGGATCCCCACCACCTTATCTGAACACAGTCTCACATGGCGATATCCATTTTAATCGTGGCAGGCTTTTGAAGCTGTACCAAAGCAACCACCAACAATTTTCATAATAAACTTTTTTCCCAAGAACAATAATAGAATGGAACTGCCTATCAAAAGACACTGTTAATAGCCCTACACCTGATGTATTTTATGCCAGGTTAATTAAGATGATTTCAGTAATTATTTAAAATATTGTGCGTTTGCAGGTGGTGATTGTGTCTTTGCCGTTGTGCTTTGTATCCACACCTGCTGGGGCCCTAACGGGGGGGGGGGGGGGGGCACAGTATTGTTAAATTAATAAATGAATGTGCAATCATTGCAGGTGACATCAGGTAGGCACTACACATCAGTGGTGGCAAGCACCTTCAGGAACTGCGACCGGGATGCGGACGACGTTCTGGACACCCATGAGCTGCTGAGTTGCATTAGACGAAACCACACGGCCTTCCACACATGGCTTGGACACAGGGGGGAATCGGTCGGGTAAGCGCGGGCGTGCTTTGCACTTCACATTTGAACCCCAGTTGTTTCTTGTGATTGGGTAACAAAAGCCAACTGTGGCAGCACTAACTTGTTTCTTTGTGAATCTTAACTGGTCTTTCCTTCCTGTTGTCTCTTCCTTACGTAACGTTTTTGCGCTGTTTAAGTCAAGATGTCTATCCAACTCGCCCAGCAGCTCATTTTGGTTAACTGGTCTGCTTTGGCAGTCTCAAAGGATATGCATGTACACACCTGGCATCCAGGAGGAAGGTGGAATGATGAGGCAAAAAGGGATACGATTATGACCACCAAGTTGAATCGGAGATTAGATTAAGAGACTCAGCAAATCTGCCGTAGCTTGTCTGCATTTGTTTTGTTTTCCTATAGTTTCCGAGTGCTTTGTGTCTTCGTCTGCTAGAATGGCTTTTGATATTAGTGATTATTAGGACATCATGAAACTGGCTTGAGTTTGGTTTTGACCTCAAAATATCTCACTGTGCTATATTTGCAATCCCAAAATAAATTGGAGTATCCCTTCCGATGAAAAATACCATTTTTGAACATAAGCCTTTGTTTATATTACTCTTCATTTAGTAATACAAACACTGCTCTATATTAACATGTTCAGGTTTCAGTATGCTAAAAATCCCATTGCTAGACACCAACAGATAAAGAATAGTTTGTCTTACAGTTTGCCGCTCTGCTCTGTGGGAAAGCCAGTGCCAGGAGAGAAAACAAGTAGTTGGCTGCATCATCTATTTCAGCAGCTTATAATTATGAGCATGGGAAGTGTGCACTGTCCAAAGCTGACTGTCAAATTTTGCCTCCGAGACTTCATACATATTCCTTATGGTCTCTGGCATTCTTTGAAAACTGCCGTTAAATTTAGTATCCCCTAATAAAAAAAATTCCCTGGGCAGGAATATGAGTTCATGGATCAGAGAGTTAAAAAGGACTGCTTGGACTAATGCATGCTCCATTGGCAAGAGTACATTTTTCCATGCTCATGTTTTCCTCGCGACTTTCTACTTGTAGGACACTCTGCATTGATGCCATGGTCGAGGTTGCCGACAGAAACTCTGACTGGGTATTAACAATGAAGGAGTTCCAGGCTTTCATGGCGCCCAACTATCGTGCACCAGTGAAGGGTAAGTCTTTGGCTTTCATTCTTATTGCTTCGTTGTGCTATTGAAGCTGATTTGTAGTTAGCACATTATTGTGTCTGGAAATGCTTAATATATTATATCTTTTTTGTTTTGTTTGTTAACAGGGCCTTATATGCAACTGCACTAACTTGACAGAAAAAGTGTGCATAATACCTCGCATATATCCTATAAAGTGAGGGGTATCGCAACAAGATAGGTCCTCTGCAATAAGCAGCGTGGCAAAGATAAATTTTAAGAGGTGGAAGTATTTCGTAAGCAGCATTATAAGAAAATACTTTCATTTTAAAGGTATTGTCTGACAGCTAGAAGCTTGAGCTCGTAGCTCCTGCTGTGCACAAGTTCACGCAGCCAAGGTGCCTCCCTGAGCAAAGAGCACGCACTTGTATACCCTAGTATTGGTATTGCCATTCCGGTTGATTTGCATGAAAAAGGGCCTAGAAGCAAATATTTAGACGAAGCAATACTTGTTTAAGTGCAAACTGCGTGAACAGAGCAGGGCTCCTTTTTAAGCGGAAGTGAATTGACAATATAAAACTATTATTTATGGCGCATGTGGTGCTCGAGGCATGAGAAATGGGGGTTCGCAATTGCGGTACGCTTGTGGGCCGCACCCCAAAGAGTTGCGGACCGCGTGTTTGAGACCCCTGCTCTAAACAACTTAAGTTTTGCGAGGACCTAATTTTTGTGAAATTCAAGATTTGAAAAATATTTCAAAACAGCAATCATGGAAATACATCACCCCATGGTTACAAATATGTTGCGCACCAAATATTGTGCTTGTGAAATATTCCTGAAACCACCCACTTCACAAAACGTCCAGCCCATGAAAGTAAAGTTGTTTACAGGAAATAATTTGAATTCATTGTTTTAGACTAACATACATAAGCAAGCAAATACTGTTCTCTATTCTGCAGTCTTGAGGTGGCACAAGTTAATTCTCAAGATAATTAAATTGTCAAAATTATTTTGACTTCTTTAACACCATGTATAATGCTGGGACCTTCCTTTTAACAATTCTTCTCTTGCTTTTTTTGCCGAGTTTTGAGGTAACACAAGCTAGCCTGGAGCAATCCTCTTTGAGCTTGCCACCGTTCTGCACACTGATCATGGTATCCAAGATTTTGCCCAATGTTAGATCCCAAGGCAAATTTTAATCCCAAGTCCTTCAGTGGAGCATCTTGAATTGTAGTGTTATTGTTTTGCCTTGAATGTAGCTTAAATATGATTTTATAACTCTTTCATAATGGAGAGGTAAAGCAGCTCACTTTTGCATGCTTTGCAGAGTGCCATTTGGACGGCAAGCGCTACAAAGATGGCGAAGAAATTGTCATTCTCTGCAGTATCTGGTGAGTTTTTCATTCTAGGTGGCAATTATAATCTTGTACACCACCAACTCTTGTACATCCCATGGTGAAGTTTTAAAGTTTGCGATTTCATATAGATCAGATGGAACATTAAATGACAAGAGTATGATAGCATGGGCCGAGCGTTCCAACAGCTATAAATTGAGCCGTAGAAGTTGATCCAGCACTCAACGAGCTGGAATTTTAGTCGGCGGTGAATTTTAGTGATCGGTTTCACCGCAGGAACTTTCAAAGCGTAGTTCAGTCTTTTAAATTTGAGAATGAAATGTGTGCTATTTTGAGTGGTAGGATGCAGTGTGAACTGGTAGAATTCATGTTTACTACATGTAATCAAATGGCACCACATGTCATTGAGTTCAGCATTCAGAAAACGCTGCAGCATTCATGGTGATAATCAGTGCAGTTCTTGTGGAATACAACTTTTGTTCAATTATTTGGACTGAAGCTGATGCTGGAAACAACAAACATAAAAGATGAATGCATTCTTTCTAAAGAGTATCCATCCCACTATGGTTGTCATTCTAGTAGGCTCCTGGTTGGCCTAATTTTGAGTATATTTAGCTAGAGTGCTTTGTTTGGCACGGTGTGCCAAGACTATCAGACAAAACTGGAATGCAGGTAGCGGACAGTCCAGATAACAGCTGCAAGCATAATCATGCATCATCTTTACTTTAGCCCATCTTTTGAAAATCCAGAAGATTCCAGTCAGTTTTCACAGGAACAAAGCTCACTTCGAAAGTTAACCAAGTGAAACTTTATAATCACTGAATAAATTGGCTTCTATGAAAATTTCAGTTCCCCACATGCAAGCACCAATTTTTCCATTTCATTTAATAGCAGCCGACTTTTTTTTTTTTTTTGTAGTGTGGGAGCTTGGCAGGCTTGTTTTAGCAAAGTTGCACTGGCCAATAAAGAGCTTTGTATTTTCCTTTTAGTGTGTGCACTGGTGGAGATTGGACCTGCGCTGGAAATATCTGTGAAACCAAGGCCCACAAAAAGGAAAAGAAAGGCGAGTTTCCCACTTTTCATAAGACGGACCCAGGGCTCTAGACTCGTCAAACACAAAGTTGGGGCCTAAGATCACGGAACACGCCGATTAGACTATCACGGCGATGCCTTCGCGCTTTTGTCGCCGTCGTGCAAGGGGCGCACTCCGCAAACTTTCAGCTTAAACTTTATGTTTAACGAGCCTGCCTAGGGCCCCTGTACAGTGCAATTAATTTGTAGTGATTGCTCCCCAAGTTGCACCCTCTTAAGACTGTAAGGCAACTCATGTTTATGCAGCGTGAATCCAGCTTCTCTTGCGGTTTTGTGTTTTGTTCTGCCGCTAAAATCCTACCTTTTCGAAGAGTGCTATGGTCGCCAACTTGCCATGTTTCTGACAACTTTCAGCAGGAGTTGTGGCGTCTGAGAGTTTGACACTGTATATACTCTAATAATACAGTTAATGTTTATGAACAATGCCCAAACGTATACTCTCCCAGAGAGCACAGGGACAGCCAATGAACAATTTCTGGAAGGAGCCTAGAAAATAAAAATGCAGATAAAGCTTACTCGTGCAAAGACGCCGTCTGTGTTGCCATGCCAAGCATGATGTTTAAAGGGGCCGTGGAACAATATTGGGTGGAAATGTTTCTCACTTTACACAAGCTTACTAGCACAAGAGGGACCCAAGTTTGATTGCACGCAACGCCACTTGATGACAAAGTTGGGGGGATTGCGTTGTTGGCGTCATCCACAATGCGACCCCCAGGATTTCGTCATCACGCTTTGCAGTCTGCGTGGTGACAATATTTAAATGCAGCTCATGCAGTGGACACTAACACTGTGTGAGCATTCAACTTGCGACAGTCAATTTCTCGACATGCATTTGGGAATAGCCGAAACCTAACGTGTGGAACATGGCACGTGCCCAGTGTTTCGCCAACCCCAGCGCGTGGCTATGATAAACATTGGCGGCACAAAATTGGCTCCAGATCACGTGGCTGCCTGTCGTGCTGCGAGTTGAGGGAGTGAACGCTGCTCATTTCTAAATTGCTCCTGCAACTGTCATTGTGTGTACAAAAAAACGAATGCATGTTTCGTAGGTTATGAATGTTGAGGAATAATTATCTGCAGTATTTACTGAAAATACAAAAATTGTTGCATTGCCCGTAAGATGGCAGTTTCAGAGCTCATATTTTCAGGAACAAACATTTTGTAGGCCTTGCAATTTGCTCGGCTCGTTCCATAAATCTCTATTCACATCCTTTGTAGAAAACTAGACACATGAGCCTCATTCAGAAAGAGTAGGCACTAATTGGAGCAGATATGATTTACTTTGGTTTGTGATGTTACAACCCGACTTGAATGCCAATTTTGAGCTGTGCTCGGAATGCATGAATTCTGTGGCAATTCTCCTCTGTTGCAGGCCATCATCATCATGGCAAGAATGAGAACAGCATTCCCCACCAGAAGTGGGAACAGCTTCTCAAGGACTTGAACAGTTAATGATGTGTTGTGCAATTCGAATGTGGCTGCAACCTCGCTAGAGAACATAATCGACCAGCTGTAGTGCTCTAGTATTAACCAAGAAGCAGTATTCTGCCGTCATATGTACAGGCAGATTTGTTACGGCATTTTCAGCTTTTTTTTTTATACAAAATGTAGTTCTTGTTTAGATAAGCCATGTTTTGCTGGCTAATACTCAGTATTGTTCCTGAAAACTTTGTTGATTAAAGATGTTGCCTTTTGCCAGAATTTCTATGGGTTTCTTGTTGGTTAATATGTACATAGTTGCTTCGTGCTTCACATGCCATTCAAGAGCTGAAAGTTGAAATTGTTACCATTTTATCGTCGACTGCAAGTTAGGAATGTGCCAGGATCTCCTCCCACATCCTCGTTGCCTCCAGCCATTGTTCCTTCGTGACGTGCAAAGAGTTAGCTACTGAGGTGCTACTACCTTTCCTGATTGGTCAATGGAGTGATTAGACGTCATGGCTTGGACGGGCGTTTTTCGGACTCTTTTGGTGGTAATCCAGCAACAGGCTGCCTGTACTTTATTCGCCAAAATAGGACACCGCTTTAAAGTATGCAGCAACACTATTGTGGACCGATTTTGTGACAGACGTCACCCAATTCTGCCTGGATTTTACAAGCAGTTATCCCAGGAGTAGAAAGCAACAATATTTGTATGGTGAGCATTATACAGAATACAAAAGGTAAAACAAATCAACATTTATTTTATAGGTACTGAACTGTTGCACTTTAAGCAAAGCTAGAAATGCAAGTTTGTCATTGGTATTGTCTGTTGGCATGCTGGGCTTAGCTATGGCCAAAGAAGTAGGTATTGTTGGCACGGGCTGTTTTGGGACCCTGAGAAAGCTTGCTACTAACCGGTGCCTACAGTAGTTACACATTCAATGCAGAGAACGGGTCAGGATGCAGCACCTTCCACACTGGCAAATCTGCACTCTTGTGTCCTCTAACTTTCAAAGGAAAGGAAAGTGGCATTAAATGATTTACATTTATCCCAACGCATTCATCACTGTTCCCATTGTGTTCTGGCTTGGTGCAATTGCTCGGAGCTTTTCCAAGGGTGGCACAGATCTTCAGTCTCGGTGGAAATGGAATGCAGTGCTAAGAGTTTTTACTGGTGTGCCGCACAGAACTGTATTGAAGCTATTGACACTTGTCCAAGGGTGTAGGGAATTTAAAAGGTCACAAGCACTGAGCATTCTACAGTACTGCGACGCCCTACACTTAAATCTCGTTGACACACTTGCAACTGACTACGACCAAATGTGACAAGACCTGTTTTTAAGCCTCTTGCAACAGCTTATGACCATCTCCGCAGCAGTGCATCCTATCGTAAGTCATTGCAAGAGTTTTAAAAACCAGTCTGGTCTCGCTTGGTCGTGCTCGGTTGCAAGTGTGCGAATGGGCCTTGAAGTTTATGTTGATTCAAATATGAGTTGTGCAACTATTAAAGGATAACTGCAAAAAAAGTGTTTTTGTAAACAGCGTAATTGGGACAAGCATGCCACCAAACAAATCTCCCACAAAAAAAAAAAATTTTTTAGCAATGTTTTTGTTGCAGGACGTAATTTAGTCGAAGTCGCAACCTCTCCACATCTGACACTCCCGCTCTTTTTCCCCGCGCGGAGAAGTATGCCCCACCCCTCGCTCTAGGATTTACTCTTGGATTGACTCGGCTGCGGAGTTGAACAACTTGTGCAACATCTCAACTCCCAGTGCGTCTTTTGTGCGTACCACAGCCTTTTGTAATTTTAGTGTTCTGTGCAAACTGTGCACAAAATAGACCCTGAATTGAAGTGCAAGCCTGAGCCTTCGGCACGCTGGGTTGGAAAAGCGTCGGGACTACCCCATGGCTTCGTCGCGGACGTTTCGTGCACCCGGTGCAGATCTCGAGGGCCTCTGGAGCAAAAGGACGAGAACATACCTGGACACGTTTGTCACTACCCGAACGCCCCATTGCCTCCAGACAAATAGCATTCAGCTTGTCATCTTTCGAGGCGACATGGCCGCTGGAAGACTCGCTGTCGACATCACTAATCTGGTAGCACTTTACAAAGCAACGGCACCGGTTTACAGGAACCGACATCTCCAAAAAAAACATTTGCACGTGCAAGCAAAAAACAAAAAGCGCTAAGAAAGCAAAGTAAATGCGCTACTCAAGCCAAGAGAAGACCCCAGAAAAATGAAAGTAACAAACCGCGCTATGAAAGCCAAAAACCCCGTGTCGCTTCCTATCACTAACACCTGCGACAGCTGCTAAACACACGCTACTTCACTGTAGGAAGTCTTACTCAAGCACCTGGGTCAACAGGAAACTCTGATCACATGAGGTAGGCGAGACAGGCGGCAGCAGAAAGCGGCGGCCATGGAAAGAATGGCGAAGCGTTTGTTATGACATGAATCCAAACGAAATTGCACGTCTTGTAAACCCTTTGTAAAGAATAATAGTAACTCTCATTACATGGGTTATTCTTTAAACATAAAAATATGCTACTCAAAAGGAAATTACAACATATCACAAAAATTTAACAACCAAAATCTAAGCTGTCGATCAATCTCTTAGCCAATGAGAAGAGTTGCTATCGCACTCCGCGACGTATAATACCAACTTTATGGCGCACAATTTAAAACCGACAAAATAGCCACAAACTAAAATCAGTCTTGTGCAGTCAACATTGCTGTAAAAAATATTTTTTTTTTGCGGAAAAATTGTTTTGTGACATGCTTGTCCCAATTAGGCTGTTTAGAAAAACTTTTTTTTTTCTTTGCAGTTACCGTTTAAGAGGGGACACTGGCTAGAGATTTAACTTATGAAATACTCAAGTGATTAAAATTAAATTTGCAGGGAGATTTAACATAAGATGTAGGTGTATTGTGCAAACTTTCAGCTCTCGGGGACAATTTTACATATCTGCATAAGAATATCTGCCGCTCTTTGTTAAGAAATTTATGATATGCAAATGAAGCTATTAAGCAGCATTTTAATTGAATGCTAATACAAATATTTCAGGAAAAGTTATTACCTCAAAATATGAGATGCATATTTGTCCTATGTCAATTTTTGAAAACATTTTTTCTCAGTGAAGACTTCAATTTAAAACAAAATAATGTAGATAGACCGATTTCCCAGTAAATTTCAGTTCAGAAGCATCTTGATTATGATATCGGAATACTTTTACTTTCAAACAAAAGATTCCTTCCTATGAAATTTGCGGCAAAAAGTGGAACTCAGAAAAATGCATTCAAACATTGAACTCCTTTACTCTGGGACGACCTCACAATGTGTTGAAAATATTTTATCTTGACATAACTATTTTGCATATGGTTATCAAATTTAGTGTAAGGGTGTATTATTAGTTTCTAAAACCAAAAAACCTTAAAATATAAAAAAATGAATCTTTTGAAAACAATTTTAAATTTAGGCTCATGTCCCCCCCTTAAGATATATTATAGTTTTGCAAGAGTAGCATGCTTCACAGCGTAACTACTAAGCGCACCCCGCACGCTCAGTGCCCAAGCTCCTCGAGTGGCCATGAGCTGATAAGCACCAGTCTGTCAGCACATATAACCTACCGCACAACATGAGTGTGAACAGCCCAGCATGCTTATTTTGCACTTGCAAGTCTTTACATATGCTCTGGTTCAAACTAGGATGTTAACTGGAAGTTTATGTTTTGAACTATTTGATGGATCGAGGGGATAAAGGGATTTTTCGGAGACCGCAGTCATTGCAAAGGGCCACATTGAGTGTTTCTGCTCACATTGGGTGTGGGTGCACAGTATATAATTAAACAAATAGAGCTAAATGTTTCTCAAGAAGCCTTTATTATAACTGCATTGCCTCCAGATGTACAGGTTTGGCCTCTAGATCCACTTGCAGGCAGCCTCTAAAGAGCAGTGCTGCTATGTGCAGGCATAACTACTATGCCACAAAGTACTCGAGAACACGCTATGGCTTCCCTTGCCAGCTAGCGATCAATTTCTCCAAATACGACATCCAGGGTACCTGCATGGCAAAATTGGTGATGTCTCGGTTACATGCACACAAATGAGCACTTTCATAGGGCACACAATGAAATTGTGAAAGGGTGAAAAGAATGTACAGGGTGAGGCAATATGAGCTGGCCCAGCAACGTTCTGGCTGGGGCAGCAAAAAAGCCATGTCGGGAACCTTGGGTACCGTGAAACTGTTAAAAAAGTGTTAAATTGGACTGCCACATCACCACCAGTTGCAATGTGGCAGTCAGTTTTAGAGCTTAGCATCCCGGAGGTACTCCAAGGTGCGTTTCACCCCTTTTGGCTAGCACTAGCCTGGGCCAGCTCGTATTGCCACTGACATTCACTTCCACCTAAGTGTAGTGTGCCCAGAATTGAATGTGTTACAAACTGTCTGCCCCTGCCTTGTATCTTTCTAAATTGAGATGATTTCGTGGATTTTGCAGATGCTTAGCTTAGCAAGTTTCTCATTTGAACCCTATGTTTACCTTCACTAATAAATGCATTCTCTTCGTAAGTTCGTAAGTTTTGATGAATTATTTAGCTAATTAGCATGTTTTTTTGCGATCCTTAATGTCCGCCTTGGCTGGCAGTTTGCTCCCAGAAAGAGTTCCTTTTTTTTTCTCAACCACCCTTTTTTTATGGATATTTCAAAGCCTTCGCTGAAACAGCCCGTATGTCGAGGACATTAGAACTGTTCATAAATCAATGCTTGAGCATTGGGCATGACTTTGTATTGTACAACCTCCGAACAAATTTCGACAAAGCTAAGGTAGAAAGAAGGCTTGTGAATTCTCACCAATTATAGCCACTATGTCAGCAAGCATGTGGTTCCTTCCAATGAAGTCCAGGGCAGACTGCACAGAAAAATGAATGCAACATGTGGACAGAGCAGCCACGGCAAAACGCGATACTTCAGTGTACAGCGAAATGCCTTTATAATGAACGCCTCCACTATGAGAATGGCCATTCAACAAAGTAAATGTAAAATAAAGTCCTGGGCCAATCTCCTATGAGGTTAATGTGTTTTTCTGACTACTACAACAAGTTCCTGTTTAACAGATATTTATGTTTAACGAAGCAAAAATTATCGGTATCTAAATTAAGAATTTTCTCAGTCAAAAATTAATCAATTATACATAAATTGTCGTTCTCAAGTGATGCACTTAAAGCGATACTGAACCGAAATTTTGAGCTCACAAAACAAGGCTGGACAAATGGGCGAGACACTGCAAAACCCAAAAACATCACTCGTACAGCGATATCTCTGACGGATCGCTGTATTTTTAGAAAAAAGTGCGCAATTGAACACAGCCGATGAGGTTGACGAGACAAGTCACGTCACGATTCCCATTCCCTCTCCTCCTCGCTACGTCCTGTCGAGCTGGCGAACCGAAACGAGAAGAGAAGCGAGGACGCATCCCTTCATTCTCAAATTCTCCCGGAGGACAATGACATCAAAGACCTCGCTTGATCGCGCCCTTTTTTTCTAAAAGTACAGCCACTCATTTGAGATATTGATGTAAGAGTGATGTTTTGGGAGTTTCACAGCATCCAGTTCAATGCTTCTGCAGCCTTATTTTGTGAAATCCAAATTTCGGTTCAGCATCCCTTTAAAGAACAGAAATACTGTGATAGATGACACTGCTACTGCGCCGCCTACGCCGCGAACCTCTGCCGTCGCTGTGCAGCATGTTCTCGGTTTTTGGGTCCAGATAATTTGTTAGTGTGCAACCTTGTGTCTAGATGGCACTATGTGAATTTGTTGCTGCACAGAAAGCCCATATGCAGTGAAATAGTCGGGAACTTCGTAAAATTGAGAAAGTCGTTTTGCGGGCATAGGTTGTGCGTTATAATCCGAATTTGTTCGTTAAATCAGGAAATTTGTAAAATTGGATTATGTTAAATTGAGGTTCAACTGTATGCGCCACTCCACTGCAAGATGAGCTTTTTTTCAATTCTCCGTTTGGGCAATGGGCACACTTGTTTTCTTATTTTGCATGTACGTCGAAGCAATTTGAAAGGACCCGCGCAAATGAGAGTATGTAAAAAAAAAGTTAATAAATTATTTCCGTGGGCGGTCACAACTTTTTTATGCCATCTCGGTATTAGTTTGACCTATGCGCTAATCTTCATCGGGATCCAAGACTCCTAATCTCGCTCGATCCGAGCTTCAAATTGAAGCGATAATATGCAATCGAGGAGCGATAATATGTAGTCAAAGAGATGTCACCTGTTACTCTACCCAAGACGCCCAAATCTAAGTGCTCGGACGGCTCCGCTGTGCACCTCTCCCCATCCTCGCTCCACTGCAGCTGTCGCGTGAAGAGTGCGTTACCCATTCTGCTGCACTGCTACAAGTAGTACTGCTGCGCTCGCTGCGCCGCTTGGAGAGCCTCCTCCAAGCGACACGTGGCGGCGCAAGCCACTGGCCGACTTAGGAAAGGCCGAATTTACAGGGTTGGCGAATGCCTCTCATTCGTTGAGTGATCGGGGGGTCGATGTTGCTGGCTTAGTGAATGCTGCGATTCATATTTTGATGAGTCGGCTAAGTTGCGTGGAAGGTTGGACAGCGGGAAATTAGCCTACAGCGAGGAGCGCCGGTGTTTCGGCTGTAGATGGCAAATTTTGCTAGTGGCGGTACTTGTGGTACGACCGCTAGCTGGTGTCTTTAAATTGTTTTATGCAGTGGTAAGTACAGAAACGTGTGATAATACAATTTTCATTTATAAAAAAAACTAAAATGACTGCATCTCCATGTGGTGAATGATGTTGATTGGGGCGAAGCTCTGGTGGCGCTGATGATACTGATTTTATTGTTCATAGGTAGTGCTGATGGTGCTGATTTTGTTTTATTGCTCATAGGTAGTGGTGAGTTACGGGTTGCGTTTCGACTTCATTATTACTGCTTTATGGTCGGTGAAGTGCAGGGCCAGTGGTTCTAGCGGATCAGCTTGGATCCACTAGAAGCCGTGGAAATGTATCTCCACTGGTCAACGGTTCATGTCAGAAAGAGAATGTGTGGTATGGAACGTGGTTATATACGCATTTGACCGCAGCGCCCTCTCATCTATAAACGTTGAGCCAATGCATGCAAAGTTTAACGTGATTATATACGCATTTGACCGCAGCGCCCTCTCCTGTATAGACGTTGAGCGGCTACGTGCAGCGTTTCATCCATGACAGAAACTCCAGCTCTTGAGTTACTACCACATCTGAGAGCCACTGCGCAAACATTTTTTCTTTTTATGTGAGCACGAACGCCGGACGGACGGACAAGGCTAGACCCTAAGGAGCTTTGCCCCTAAAAAAAAAAAAAAGACTTGGTAATTGAGAGCAAGATGCCTGGATTCTGCAGCGCAAGCTTTTGCCCCACGTCAGCGAGTTCCGACGCGCCAGTCTATGGTACTCGGCCACTGTTCTTTACAAAAGTCAATTGTCAACGTACAAAACCTAATTTCTGATGTTGCTCACACATACTGTATTTGGCACTGTACTTTTTTCTAAAACACCTTGAATGTTGCAAAGGTACGTCAATGTGCGAGAGCACAAATTTGGTTTCGTGTGATCGATTTTTTGCGCTCAACTACTACTTCAACGAAGTTACCTGCACCATAAAAAATTCCACCGGTCTGGCGGACTTCGTTATAGGCCAATGCACTGTTTACAAACAAGCCCTCACGAGCTGTGGACCACGGCCCCTTGATTCACTCCGTCGCTCTCCGCCATGGGGGCAAATGCGCAGTTTCCACACGAAGTGTGGCCACTGCGCATGCGCAGGAACCAGATTCGCATGAAGTGAAGTGTCTGCACATGCACCCTGCCAATAGCAGCGCCACTGCAGCGGCGTGACGTCAGTGTCGCGTGTCGGTGTAAGAAGGCGTTTGACTGTACCGCAACTTTTGCTATCATGTTGGATCTCTTTTTATCTGGATATACAGTGTAGACCGCATATAAGGTATGTCACGGGAGTTGCGAAAATCCGCACTATAACCAAAACATCAATTTTTCAGGTCAAAGTTATCTGCCATGAGACAACTTACCTAATAAAACAATTTATTTTATGTTAGATAAAAAATAAAGCTCAGTTTTAGGAAAGCTCTTATTTCACTAGAATAGTACACTTCTCTCTCAAGCGTGTCACGCATTTTGCAAGAAATTTGTGATTTTTGCCTGGCACCGCCTTTTAACGGCGTTGCGGATGACGTTGTCTTTGATAATGCTAAGGCATTTGAATATCTGATCACTGAAGGAGTTCTGCTCACAGTAAACTTTCAGTTTCTGTAAGAATACCAGTGCGTCTTTACTTGAAACTTCCTGCGTGCGCTCTTCGTCATCGCCCGACTCATCTTCGGGTGGACTCGCCCCAGAACTTTGCACCGCTGCAACAATAGCTTCATCGGTGGTTGCTTCCTCACGGATTACAGTCATCCTCATCCTCATCTACATAGTTTGAAACGTGCCGTTTGCAGGAACAAAGTGGTTTTCCACAAGGTTGGACCACACGTCGTATGCGCCAATCGCCTCGTCAATCATATCACTGTGCCAATCGGCGCCCTCCGAATTCACGGCATCGCGCACACTTCTGGATGGTTGTCGCTTTTACTTCCCACCTTGACACAGTGATCATGTCGATGGCACCCCTTAAAGGGAAACTACGTGGTTCTTGAAAAAAAAAACAGTTAGAAGTGAATTCTAGTGTATTTTTACCCTGTGAACCCGAATACGCAAACCATTTGCAGCGCGCGTAAAACGCGAGAAAACGCAAAGGACAGTCGCTGTATGTGACGTCGACAGATGTTTTGGCTGCCCAAGGCTAGGGAGGCGGGGCTTCAGCCTTATTTTGAAATTGCTCTTGTGGCTCTCTGGCGCGTCGCATTGAAACATAATTGTGATATCTGTTATTCTAAAAGCCAAATGAACGCAATTCAAGCGTTTTTTTCTCAAATACAGAAGTGCCTCATCTTCCCTTTAAGTAAACCTTGATGATTCCTCTCGTTGCAATTTCAAGACGACTCTTTCGCACATGCACTTCTTGTAGGGCGCCTTGATTGTAGCGATGACGCCCTGATCGAGAGGCTGGCTTTTAGCAGTTGAGCACTGCAGTTGTCCAGGATAAGAATGAGGCGCCGTTTTTCCGCGACCATGTCCTCATCGAAACTTTTCAGCCAACTAGCAAAAAAACTCCTTGGTCATCCAGGTTTTTCCATTTGCTGTGTGTACCACAGGCAGACATTCTCGCTTCTTGAAGCAATGGGGTCGTTTTGTTTTCCCAATGATAAACAAGTGAGCTTGTCGGAGCCATCTATGTTTTCACAAACCAAAACCGTGACACGTTCTTTTGTGACCTCGCGGCCAGAACAGGGTTCACCTCTTATCGCGAGAGTGCGACCAGGAAGCATGTTGGAGGACAGACCAGCTTCATCGGCATTATGGATGTCTTTGTACATGTACGCGGAATGCATCTTGGGATGAATGCGAAACCACGCCTGAATACTGGCATCGTCAATTTCCCCACTTCTGCCCGAGATAACTTAGTAGCTAATTCTCTGGCTGTCTTTAAACCACTCGACCCATCCGTTGAGGGGGTTGAAGCCTTTGTGCTCAAACAAATGTCCAAAAGACCTAGCCTTCTCTTGTAGCATCGGGCCACTCACTGGGACGTTCTTGGCTCGCACTTCGGTAAACCATCTAAACAAAGCTTTGTCGACGTCCTCGTACTTTGGTGCACGAATCCTCTTTCTTGAAAGCGATGCAGAAGCGTGCTGTACTTGCTCCCGTACCCACTCCCAGTTTTTCCAGGCAGTGGAAACCATAGCGTCAGCGACGTAGTACTTGGCCGCGACGAAAGCTTTTTTCATGCCGCTTTTGACATCTTTGACGATGCTCAGTTTGTTTTCGAGAGATTGCTGTTTCTTGGCCATCTCGGGCTTGGGAGACAGGGACAAATCGGCAATGGACGGTCGATTTCCGTAAGATATGCTTGACGCGGTCCAAACATCAGACGTGAGAGCAAGCCAGCAAGCTGCAAGAAGCGAAACTAGATACTATCCAGCTATCAAGCCTTCATTTTGCGTGCGGTGTAAGGAAGGAGGTTGGTTTGCATTACTTGGGTGGGGGGTGAAGCTCAAAGGGTGAAAGGCTTGGGCGGCTCAATAGGGCTTTCAGAGTTGAGCGCGCGAGTGTGTGTGTCACACCTCGCTGCATTGCACCTCGCTGCGTTGTCATTCGTTTCTCGCCTCTCTCTTTGCTTCTCCTCGCTTCTTCCACGTAACCTCCTTGCCGTCCTTGCCCCCGCGAGTGCCGCTTGAGCCGTTATTTGGTGTCGCACAGGGAAGTGGCTTGCTGCGCCGGTCAGTTGGTGACGGGCTGTTTCTTAAACCGCACTATAATTGGTATTTCCCTTCGCGCGTCTGCATTTTGAACGGTATGTAATTACATGGAGTTGTATGGGAGGCGGAGTGGTGGTTGAAAAAAGCCGCATTACATCCGGTCCTGCACTATAAGTGGTCTATACTCTAGCTCATCCTAAGTGCACCTGTCAAGTAAAATTTTTTATCAGCACTTTAGTTGCTGACAGAGTGAAAATGGCAGGGTGGAGCTTCAATCGGCCCGCATCCAATGCGAGCGTCCTACCTTCGGTGTTGCGGGTGCTCCAAGCGCGCAACCAAAGCACAGTGGAAGGCATAGCGGCGATCAAAAGACACACTCTGGCATTCCTGCTCTGTCAGTGACTGTAAGAAAGCCTGAAAACTGCCCTCTTTTCTAATAATCTGGGGCATCCGTTGGGATATATACCTCTCTATGGGAGTGGTGTACTTACCAGATGGGCAAAACCGGGGGCCTTGATCTTGCACCGGTATGGACGACTTGATCCGTCAGAGATCATGTAGAGGCCGAATTCCCCCTGTAAACACAGGGAAAGATACTTTAGGAGCTTGGCATGCAGTTCAGACAAATTCAGCATATTTGCATGCATGCTAAAGTGCAAGCTATGGAGCACGGTGTACTATTGCAGCATGCAGTCCACCTCATCTACGAATGACTGGCAAGGCAGTGGAACTGCTGCAATGCAGTGCACCATTTTCCTTAGAGCGGGGCTACAAAAATCACCAAAAAAGATAGAGCATGCAAAACATCCTAGAATCGCTGAAAACATGGTCAAATTCTAAAGAATCTCAAGGCATTTCTTGGGACCCACTTTCATTCCAAACTTCATTACCAACTGAAGATTAAATTTTAATACAGAGTGGCATTCTCACGGAAGTTAACTTGCATTTGGCAAACGTCTGCAAGTGTAGGCGGCATGGCACAATGCAAGGTACTAGAGTCGGCCAGCTGCCAAAAGCTCTCAAAAACAACAACAAAAGAAACAGAAAATACTTCAAAACACTTTGCTTTCAAAAAACACTTGGCCCGCTGCTTAAAAGTTTTCGGAGACAATAAAAAGAAAAGAAGCGGTAGCAAAGAAGAACAAAGCAAGAGAATGCTTTGAAAAAAAAACGGCACTAAGCCGCTTGCGAGAAAGGCCGACAGGACGTTGGCATCTGTTGCGTTTCTCGTAAAAGCCCAATTTCGCATATGACGGTTTCCTTGATAGATCGAGATACAGCAGCAAATTCTAGTTCTACAATGTTCAAATCTGAATTCAAATTTGAATCTGCTGCTGCTGGAAAGGAAGGCTCACTTTTGGTGCTTCCACAGCTGTGTATGTCGCACCAGGAGGCACTTGGTAGCCTTCAGTAAACAGCTTGAAGTGGTGGATCAGAGCTTCCATTGACGTCTGCAAGGTCGACATGAGATGTCAGTGCCAAACAAGGAGGTCTGCTGCAAGAGCCACGGATCGGTCTTCTGACACAAAACTGGGCTTACACAGAGCTTATGCTCATGAAACAGGCGATCACAACGCTTGGCTGGGAAATTGAGTCTTGCTTCTAGTAAATAGAATATTTTAAACACGACACAGAAAATAGATGTGGCAAGTACCAGCGGCCACATAAACCAAGATTGTGAGATCCCACAACATCGACGTTAGACACTTATTTTCCTAAACATAATATTAATTAGGTAGAGATTTTTTCAAGTACTGTAATGCTGTATATCTGGGAAATTCAATATGGATGTATACAGAATGGCATTATATTTTAAGCAGGCACAGTGTCACATACATTTTTAATAAAGTAAAAAACGAAAGTGCTCAAAACCGAAATCGAACTGGGGAGGAAGAAGAAATATAGAGGAGAAAGTTGCCGAAAATCACGTGGCTGTGCTACTTTTTTTTGTTTCAATCAATGTATTTGCAGCTTTTTAGAAGCCACAAAAATGATCATATTGTTTGTCTATATTTAGTACTGGGTGTGTGCCTTCTATGACCTACGACTTTGATTATCGTTGGTGGTTGTGTCTAAACCATAGAAAACGGCGCGCGACCACGGAGAAGAGAGTGAGCGCGACTCAAACCGGCCAGCTCTCGATTGGCAGCTTTGGGAAGGAAAGAGAATGAATTTCGAGCTGCAAACTGTGTTCTGGATAGTTGGGTTCTCATATGTCATGTACAAATAAAAACCTTGGCGAGCATAAATACCCTGTCAGTGCCCCTTTAAAGATTTGGCTCGAACAATATGGTCAAATGCCCATCGTTCTCAAGGCATGTTCTCAAGGCACATTGTTTCGAACAGCTCGGAAAACTGGGAATTGCTAGGAAGACGGAGAGAACAGGGACAATGAGACCAACCTTCATCTCCTCTCTGGAAGGTGGAACGCACTTATTGTCGTCCGTCCTGACAGGGCCCGGCGGCATTTTGTTGAGGCACTGGTGGATGATGAGCAGGCTCTGCCGCATCTCTTCCATGCGACAGAGGTACCTGCACGGTAAAAGAAAGGGTGGGGCTCTGACGGAGCAGTACATCCCCTTCCATTTTCTACAAGTCGTGCAGCCTGGGTTAGCCTGGAGTTTTGGGACCATAGCTTTAACCCAAAGCTCGTAAAATGTTAAAATGCCGTAGAACCTCTTTATAATAGTAAAACCAAGTTATTCCAGAAAATAATCTTTACTATATGAATATCTTCACTTACCAGCACTGCAAGCATACTGTAACTTTGCTTCACTAGTACATCCAAATCTTTGCACTATTAATAGTCGTTACGATAGAACGCGGGTATTCAAACCGAGTGCCTAGGAGCCCAGGTGTCCCTCAAAGCACCCTCAAGGATTCCTCCAAGTTCCAGAAGTTCTTTACTGTCCCTATCCACCTGTGTAAGCATTTTTCAATGTTCAACCAGTAAACTTTGGCAGATCTGAGTCACCCACCGACACACAACTTCTACGAGCCAAACACTCCATAGTCTGTGAACAATAATTGCTTACAAGGTATGCAGGCTTCTGCATCGCTTTATTGCTTCAATGCCGGGACAGGGAGGGGTTTCTCGGCTGCCATTCAAGGCAAATACAGTGGATTCTCGAGATTGCAAAGTTAGAGAATTTTTGTCTTAAGGAGGGACACTACCCAGAAAAAAAATTTTCTGCAAAAAAAGTTGATTTCAAAAAATCTCATGTATACATCCACTAACATCTAGAGAGTAATCCCAAAAAGTTTAATTAGTTTGCACTGAATGGTTAATTTTTTATAAATTATTTTCTGTCCATCAAAGCTAAAAAAATGGTAGGGTTTGGAGCACTTTGAACGCGTTTTTCTCCGTTCCACTTTTTGGTATAAATTTCGTTTTAGTCAATCTATAGTTTGATAATGGCAAAACAGGGAAGGCTCATTCTTTCCTTTCCCTGACTGAAATTTAATAGGGAATGCAGCTATGGAATTTTTTTGTCACTTTATGGATGTCTTTTACAAAAATGTTGACATTTTGTGGAAGACACAGAAGACAAAAAGTTCACCAACTTTGCAGAAGAAAAAATTTATACAAATAAATGACTTTTTAGAAAAAACATTCCATAGTCGCTCCCCCAGGCATACTGCTACATATCTAGCAAATAAAAATCTTGAATATTGTGATAGTTTTCTGACGACAGATTAACTAAACAATGTAAGCATGTTGCTGATAGAAGCTAGTCTAATTTCCTTCTCATTAACCGACAGACCTGAAATTTTGTTATGCACCCTCTAGCATGACCACCAGCCCACCCAGTAAATTTCATTAATTTTAAGACAAGGGTTCAAAAGTTGACCCCCTAGGGGGTGTGTCCTTAAAGAATTTCAACATTATAACAATTATGAAATGACACACATACCTGTCGTAGCAATCTCCTTTAAGACCGACCGGAACTTCAAACTCGAAATCTTCGTACGAGTCGTACGGCTGGGTCTTCCTGAGATCCCACTTGATGCCCGAACCACGTAGCATGACTCCACTGCAAAGTGTTCAAGAAAATTTACAGGATAGTACTGGAACTAGAAAAAAATTAACAATGCTTCACAAATGAAGTATATAACCATTGCCATGCTTGTAAAGAGAAGTCACTCCATAACATTCAAACTATTCAATTTAAAATATTGACGTCCGTTCGAGAGGCACTTGAGTGCTTTTTGTTGAAGTTCGTTTCTGATGGCATATTGTTTGTTGGGCATACTGTTTGTCAATGAAAATGATCAGTTCTAGATGGCAAGACAACCTAGCAAATTTGCAGCAATAGAAATACACGGGCACTATTTTCCCTTGGGGGAACATCCTCGTGTTACAACCACATCCACGAAATTTGACCGATGAAAATAGTTAATTGCGTGGGGATTCGGAATGTCAATATTATTGTTATCTTTAGGCGCGTTGTGCATTATATCTGGACAAAAAAGGCAAATCTTTGGGTGTAGAAGAAGTAATACAGCAATTATTTTTTTCAAAAACGTCGTCTGATGGAGCCCTTTGTGTCTGTTCCAAGGCGCAGCAGAAAGAGGGGCGTTTCATTATCTTTGATTTTATTTTTAATAGGGAAATCGGCCGCCCATGAGTGTAATTTCGAGTTTTTTAGGATGCTTAGAGCCCGTAGATTGAGTTATCACCATAGATAGACCATCTTAGTATCCACTTGAGTGCCCCTTTAACACTGTCGATTAATCTGCCTGAACATGCTGCTGTAGACTTCCATGGATGGTCCACGGAAATCTACAGGGTGAGGGCGTAAGGACCAGCGAATTCGGAATGCCTTGCAAAATTCTAATTCTAATCGTATAGTATATACCTGAAACTGGGCATGTGAACATTGTTTCGCAAAAAATTTTATATCTATAATTTTAGAGCTCAACTCGGAGACGGTGAAATATAAAAAATATGCAAAAACGGCGGCCGTGAACTTTCCATGTCCTATACCGGATGTTCGTCATCTGCACAGCTGGTTTGCAAACTTGCTTACAGTAGGTCGCCGTTATTATATTTTAAAATTATTAGTTATCGCGATTATCCTGCTTGCTGCCAGCCTCTAATATGGCATTCTCAGTGTTTTTGCGTTCAGCAAGCCACTTGGGAGCCAGGTTGCAAACCAGTGAGCAGATGAGGAACAGGCTGGTATAGACAATTGCAAGCTCAGCTCCCCGACTGGTGCCCCATGAATACCAGCACGCAAAGCGTGCGCGCGAACGTGGCCTTTTTTGACCACGTTCACGCACATGCGCAATGTGACCACATGCACATACAATTGCAATTGCATGTGCATGTGGTGGCAGCCAGATGCCGTGCTCGCAATCGCCTATAGAACATAAGGAATGCACAGCCGCCATTTTTGCTTCATTTTTAACATTTCACCACGTCTGAGCTTAGCTCCAAAAACATTTGACATAAAAATTCTTGTGAAAGGACATTCGTGTGCCCCAAATCAGGTTTGTAAGTTTTGAACTCACATTTTGCAAGGCGTACCAAATGTGATGGTCCTTACGGCCTCGCCCTGTATTTTCATACATCGAGAAGAACTTTTAGCACAACACTGTTCAAATACTAACTTAATATTGAAAAAAAAAAAAATTACTGCCCGTAAGGAATTGGTTTTTATTATAGGATTTGCAACTTATCACAGAGCAGAAGCTTAGCGTTGTGAAACTACTGCTTTGAGCGAAAAACTTCAATTTTTAATTCAGTCAGCCGTCTGAGTGTCATCGAAACCCCAAACATAAAGGAAATATCTTTATAAAGCATTCATATGACATTCAAAACAGTTTTTGTGCCGTATAATGCACAGTACGCAAGCGAAACGCACTGTTCCTACGTTCCCCACGAATTTGCAAGCAAAGCTGAAAATGCGGTGGCAATCAATGCTAGTCGCCAAGAGATAACGCTGAAGTTTGCATTACTCTGCCATATTTTTGAAGTAGTACATACAAGGGCTCCAGATAATGGCAAGCTATGCACTGCTTCATTACGAGACGACTGGGCTGCCTCTCAGAGTGGCAGACTTAATTCGAGCTTCAGAGTGACTAAAGCAAAGACTGAACCCTGCTGACCCCACCATGTTTCGTGACGAGTTGCAAGGGGTGAGGGTCGTACTGATAAAAACAAACATTTGTCAGTACTTTTTTGTAATATAAGGAGTGTGTTGCGTCATAGGGATGACTTGTGCTCTGCTGTAGACTCATCCAGTGCTGATAGTATTGTGGTTTTTACCGAAACGTGGCTTTCCTCTTGTGTTAAAAATTCGGAAATATTTTGTTGTGAAAAAAGTTTCAAGGTTTATCGTTGCGATAGAGGTGAAAGGACTGGTGGCGGTGTGTTAATTGCTATCGCAAGTCATATTGAATCGTTTTGCGTGCACCTGAATAGCGAATTGGAGATAACATGGGTTTGTTTGCATTTGAACCACCAGAAACTTATTTTGGATGTATGCTATCGTCCACCATCTAACAATCATTCCTTCGTTACTAGTCTTCATGACGCAATAAACTCATTAATAATACGCTTTCCTTCCGTTCCAATCATTCTTTTAGGTGACTTCAACTACCCAAATATGTTCTGGACTGGCTTGCATGCTTACAGTCACCCATTTTCATCAGACGCGACTGACTTCATAAACTTGTGTAACGATTTCAGCTTCAGTCAATTGATGACTCTTCCTACTAGAATTACCCATACAACAGCCAACATATTGGATCTAATTTTAACAATGTCATCTTCTTTAATATCTTCAATTAGCACCATGCAGGGCATAAGTGATCATTCATTAGTACATATTGTCATCGATATTCCTGTTAAAAATGCTCCAAAGATTCAGAAAAAAATATGCGACTATGTATGCTAACGGTAACTTCGAGGCCATTAACAATGAACTTTCTTTTTTTCTTGATGATTACTTGCCGCTCTCTTCAGAACGCTCAATTTAGGAAAATTGGGAGTTATTTAAAATGCAGGTTGTGCATCTTACTAGTACATATATACCTTTGCGCAATATTTCCGTCATCCCGCAATCACCATGGTTTAACAACACATTAAAAAGGCTTTCTAACAAGAAAAAAGAAAAATTTCGAGCAGCTAAATTTTCAAATGTTGGTTCTAAATGGTCTGCATACCATATTGCGGCTAATAATTATAAAAGTGCTATTGAAAATGCAAAGGCTACTTATTTGAATGTAACTCTACCATCACTTTTAACAAGCAACCCAAAGCAGTTTTGGAATGTAATTAATCGAAATGAAAAATCGTCAATATCATTGTTTAGTTCTTATGGAAATGCTGTGCCTTTTAGTGAGTGTGCCCTTGTTTCGAACGCCGCCTTTGTCGCTCCATTTTCAGACGTTAACGTGTCATCTTTACCTCCATTTGAACGTACTGGATTTGTTCCTATGTACCCGATCGCTATTGATGCTTGTGGAATTTTTAAAGTAATCGATAATTTAAAAATATCATGTTCTGCGGGAGTAGATGCTATTAATTCAAAATTCCTAAAAAGTACCAAAGAATATTCTTCTATAATACTTTCTAAACTATTTAATCAGTCTCTTAATTGTGGGTGTTTGCCGGACGACTGGAAGGTGGGAAAGGTGGCGCCGATACACAAAACGGGTGATCAACATTCTCCTTCTAATTACCGCCCCATATCGCTAACAAGTATCCCATGCAAAATTTTTGAGCACGTCATTTTTTCACATTTAGTAAACTTCTTGGAGTCTAACAACTTCTTTTCTCCCGCCCAACACGGTTTTTGTAAGTCATTTTCGTGTGAAACCCAGCTACTAACCTTTACTAACGACCTTCACCTCATTCTTGATCGAAGTTCCCAAGCTGACTGCATATTCCTCGATTTCGCTAAAGCATTTGATAAAGTATCACATAGTCTACTACTTCATAAACTAAGCAAACTCAGTATTGATTCCGGTACATTATCTTGGATTCATGCCTTCCTAACTAGCCGGTCTCAGTTTGTATTTGCGAATGACACGTCTTCTCCTTCAGCTTCTGTGACGTCTGGAGTGCCGCAGGGGTCTGTACTGGGTCCCCTTCTTTTCCTTAGATATGTCAATGACTTACCCTCCTGTGTTTCATCTTCAATTAGCTTGTTTGCCGACGACTATGTTATATATCGTGGTGACTAACAAATCCGATGTTTCTTCTCTTCAGTGTGACCCTGACCGTGTACTATCTGAATGGTGTGACTTAAGGCGTATGCAGCTTAACACTAACAAAAGTAAGGTAATGAGGGTTCCTCGGCTTCACAGTGATGTCTCTTGTTATTACCTGAACCACACTCTTTTACAACAAGTAACAACCTACAAATATTTGGGAGTTCATATTTCATCCAATCTGTCCTGGGAAACTCATATTCAATACGTAACAAGTAACGCCAATCGTATGCTGGGTTTCATAAAACAAAATTTTTCAACAGCCCCCTTATCACTTAAACTACTTCTTTACGAAACGCTTGTTCGCACCTAACTAGAATATGCCTCTTCGATTTGAGACCCCGGTACTGATGTATTAACATCTGCAGTTGAAGCAATTCAAAATAGATCCGCCCGATTCATACTTACTAATTATCACCGCAATGCCAGCGTAACATCCATGAAATCAAGTTTGAACCTGCCTAATCTTGCATCGCGTAGAGAAGTTTTCCGTTTGTGCCAGTTTCACAAAATCTACTACCACAATCATACTTTGCGTAACAAGTTATTAGCATCTCCTTTTTACATATCACGGCGTCTTGATCACCGACACAAGATGGGCGTACCTTCATGTAACACTACTACTTTTCACAATTCATTCATACCCCGTACTACAGTGTTGTGGAACCACCTTCCAGCGTCTGTGGTATCAATATCTGACAGCGTTGCTTTCAAAAATTGCCTTAACAATGTTCACATTTCAGCGTTTCACTAATATGTACATGTTGTTTTGCATTCATAGGTTGTTATTTATTGTATGTTGTTGAATTCTATTGATGTAACTCGCTCCCCTCTGTAATGCCTTCGGGCTCTGAGAAAACTTTTAAATAAATAAATAAATAAATATGCTCCATCCTCAAAGTCAAAGTCAAATTTAAGAGTTTTACGTGCCAAACCAACGACGGGCATCTGGCACGCCTCAGCGGAGGACTGAGCGTTAATTTCGACCACCTGGGGATTTTTTGACGTGCAACCGAAAGCTCGGTTACACGGCGCCTTCTCCGCAATAAGCCTCCGTCAGATTGCGGCTTCTCGGGCGGGATTTGAACCCGTCACATCGAAATCCGTAGGCCGGCGTTCTCGCCCTGGAGCCACTGAGGCGGCTTGCACCATCCTCAACTGAATGGACTGCAGCACCAGAATGAATCAACGAACGTAACAATGCTGGGGTTTTCAAGCACGAGTATGCACATAGCTCCGTTTGCCATCACCTGCACTTGTTTCGTAGCTGCCAGCGGTGTCATAGCCATTGGCGCAGTGGTGTATCGAAATTGCGACGGCGTTCTCGACTCTGCAAAGTGGCACATTACACGCAGAGAGGGAACCACAGGGTAGCGCTCTTTCACAACGAACACCACCCGCAGTCTGTTGCAGGTCAACGAAACCGGGACAAGCTTCTTCCGCAAGGCCCTTCAATCTTTCAACTTTAGGAGAGCGAACGCTAATGAGGAGGCGAGGCATTTGCTCCGCCAAATGCGGCACAATGGGCTCGTTACCTGCGGGTGTCGGTTCCGTACTGGTAGGACTAAAAAGAAAGGGAGGGAGGGGGCACCTGCATCCCCAGTCGAGGGCGTCCTCGGCGGAGATGACGCCGATATCGATGGTGCGCTGCCTCCAGATGCGATTGCCCGTAAGCAGGTCCTCCACCTCGTCCAGCCGCTGGCTGAACTTCTGGGCCCAGTCGTAGATGTCGTCCAGCAGGCCCAGGGGCATGTCCTGGGCAACGCCCCCGGGGCGCACGTACGCCGCATGCATGCGGGCCCCGCTCACGCGCTCGTAGAACTCCATCAGCTGCACCCAAAACCCCACCGGGCCCGAGTAGGTTAGTGCTGCTCTTTTTGTAACCTTCTTAAAGAGCAACTCCGGTCGAGAACGAAACCAAAATAAATTACTGGCATCGCTTTTTCCTATTTTTTTTTGCACATCATTCTTTCTTTTTTTGACAGGGTGTGGGGGGGGGGGCTGGAAAAAGATTAAACGATGTTGCAAGTATTACATGCAATTAATCTCTTAAATGCTGCAGAACCTTTGCTCTAGTGTTCTCCCGTCGCAAGAGATTGCAAGAACTCGGTCAAAAAGCAAATTCAGGTGTGTGAACTAAACTTTAGAGCTAAACTTGCTTCCCAGTGTGATGCAGTGCCACCGATGGATGACCCTAATTTGTTTGTTATCTTTAGAGCATGAAATGCTTTTTAATGGATCACCCAATCCCAGTCTTTAGGCAGCTCATTTGAGCATTTCCCCACCAGATTTAGTGGGAAAATAGATGTTGAAAAGAACGACGTGATGTCATAATATCAGGCAACATTACGACTGGAAATCCGCGTGATGTCGAGTTGCACAACGTCAATTTTCCCGCTAAAATTAGCGAAAAAATTTCTCACAATGTCAGTTCACATGATGTCGATTGAACTGTCAAATTTGGTGACAATATTCAGAAACAATGCTCTTCTTTTCCCGAAACTACTGTTCAATGTCTACTAAACTATCACTCCTGAAATACTGCATTCTGCGCATTAGTGTATAGGACCTTGGGGATGAAGGCTGCTGGTAACTTTTAAACATTGTCGTTGCTGTATCGTGTACTGCGTGAACTGGGGAAAGGCAATTGCAAAAATGCGATCCACCCACGATTGGGGTGGGCTTCCAATTATTTGTTGGGAAACTCACATTGGCAGTTGACGTATCGCTAAAGGACCTTGCACAGGAGGGATTGAGGCCTGTACACTGAACAGTGGAACCTCGTCCTCTAATGCCGTGCTGAAACACAAAATAGTTCATACGAATGCACCTTTTCTCGCTCCTCAAAGAGCCAGAAGAAGGGTGTCAAGCCGCCAATGTCCAGGCAGTGTGTGCCGACGGCCATGATGTGATTCAGGATCCTCGTGATTTCCCCGAAGAGAACTGCAACCAAGAGCCCAGAGAAGATAAACATTACCTATATTCCAACGTACAGAGCGGTTCACTCTTAGAGAAAACATTAAAACGCACAACCGACGCTCCACACCGTGCCGGCTGCTGGCACCACCAGAAGCTCGACACGGACCCAGTGAACACCACAGACGGTGCATGCCGTGCGTTGTCTGCTACTGCATGCTACGGTGCAGGTGAAGTGGACGAAAGAACAGTGCAGTAGCAGATAATGCGTGGCATGCAATGCCTCTGGTACTTACCGCACCTGCACCGAGCTTCCGTGGGCGATAACTGCCGGCACAGAGAAGAGTGCTGGCCATGTGCACCAGCATTCTTTTTAAAGGGCAACTCCGGTCAATATTTGTTAATTTGGTATTATGACTGTTTTCAGACACATCAGTGTCCCTGAATTACAAGGTGTAACTTTTTTTCTCGATATCATGTGCAGTTTCATATATACCACGGCTCAAAGTTTGGCTTCAGATGTCTACGGCAAAATCCGAAACTATCTGCTGGAGCAACATTGATCATCAGCTGTACTGCCGCGACGTGACGTCTGAAGGGTGTTGCGGTACGCAGTACAACCAATCAACCGCAACTCCACTGCCATGCGACGTCAGAAGGGTGCTGCGCCAGTGTTCCTTGACTAAAAGCTAAACCACTTGCCGCCCACTAAAGAGCAGCTGGTCGCATCTTTAAAATAGGTTTTAAAGGAATATGCGGCTTCACTTTGACGTAATACTTTGGCTGTGACTATATTTCGTGCCAGTAAAGTGATACCAGTAATTTATTTCGATTTCATTTCCGACCGGAGTTGCAGTGGACCACCCTGTAGTCTCAAAGCTCAAGAAATATTTCTTTAGAACAGCAAGAACAATAAAAAAAATAAAAACACACTTAGTGATGCTGAAACATACTGCTTGTTGTTGCGCTAGCACTTGGCAAACCTTTTTGATTGTGAATAATAAATAGGACCCAAAAATTATACCCCTTTCCTCTTTAGGCAGGTGTACTTCCTTACAATATCACTTCTTCGAACGGTAACGCTTCTTAGCAAACGTAAGAAGACCTTTGTATCTCGTCAACTTTAAGTCCCGGATGGTAGTCCATAATCCACAATTTCTCTGCCGCATTTTGTTTCTACAGCCCGTGATAAGGGGCTGCTAGGTGTCACCGATTCGAAATTCCTCTAATGGTCTCGCATACGGTTATCTTGGCGGCTGTGCTAGGGACAATTAGTCCACCACATCCCAGCCAAAATGAGGTTAATGTGAATGGGTGACAGCCCATAAACAGGAGGCACGCGTGTCTATGTCATCCTGTGAACTCGGGCGTCCGCCTACCTCGGATGTACTTGGCACGCTTGGGGATGTCGATGTTAAGCAGCTTCTCCACGGCCAGTGAGTAGCACTGCTCATTGGCCATCATGGACACATAGTCGAGCCGATCCATGTAGGGCAATGCCTGAGTGTACGTCTTGTACTCCATGAGCTTCTCTGTACCGCGGTGAAGAAGGCCAATGTGCGGGTCTGCACGCACCACTGTCTGCAAGAATCAGAGCGTTCCTCTTGTCAGCTGAGAGCTAACATGAGCCGCAACAGCAAAGCTAACGATATGTCTTTCTTACCAGAAGCAAGCATTTCAGACCCCTATATCATCTAATCAGAGTGGTCCTGCTCTGCCTTTATGTTTTACTACTCCTAAGGTTGCAATAACCTATTCTCAGTTGGTGAGAAGTTGAACATAATAAGTCCATTTTGGATGGGCTACCTCCAGAGTAAGCCTTTGAGTTGCGTAAGTTTAAGTTACATGTGTGCAGCCAAAGCCTTACTCGAAACAGCAGCCTTAAAGGGATACTACAATGAAATTTCGGGGCCCATTTCTTGGTCTACATGTGTTCAAAGGATCAGTATCACATTGAACACACCAATATTTTGTTAAAAAAGCCACGAAAAGGAAATAAAAAAAAATGAAACAATTAGCAAAGAGCACCTGGTGGATGTTGCTAGTGCCTCGTTTGTAATGCCCGTTTAGGAACCTTGACAGTTAGTGACGGTAATTGTCTCGCCTTCGGCCATGACAAGAAAAGAAGGGAAGGAGGAACTCCCCTTTTCCCACGAATCTCTTTTGTGTGTCCCAGAAGTCGCTATTGTCCCCCTACAAAATTATAAAAGATTAACCCTTCACTCAAAATTCATACAAAAGCAGCCGCTTCGGTGGCTGGAACGACTAGGCCATCCTCTCGACGTCAGCCTTGCCGTAGCTTTGGTTGTTCCGAGACAAACTATGTCACAATCGCGTTGAATGTCACATATTCTCCGCTAGCTGTTCCCCGAGCGCTTGTCAGAGTGTGCCGTTTATAACAAAAAATACAGCCATCAGGCTCAAAATACAAACGTATGATTGTCATTTACGGATATTGTGGATCATATTCAACCTATTTTTGAACATGATGGATATATTTCAAATTTTTATTGAAATATCCCTTTAAACCGGTAGTTCTAACTTCACAAAAAACCGTAGTTAAAACATAAAAAAAAAGTTAAAAAGAAATGTTTAGCTTTTATTACCTTTTTTTTTGTGGAGACATGCTAAGTGGGAGACGGACAAGTAAGGTAAGAAGAATACAAAGACTTAAAAATATGAATGAATATGATGCTGCAGTCATAAAAAAAAAAAAAGCAAAGCATCTCTAGAGAAAGTTCTGGATTTCGTGCTTGGCCCATTACCAAGTGTGGGCATAAATGATATAAATAAGGGTGGTGACAGATTGCTAGAGGGATGCAGTCTAGACAGAAAACCCAAGGCACAGCCTTGGCCAGAGAACTTGCATGGATGTGTCAGCTGCTTACCAGCAAGCTGACAAATCCATGCAACCTTATGTCAAGTGAATCAGCAGGACGACTAGTTTGTTGCAAGTCTTTTATGGCAGAAAACATCGCTAATAATAACAAAAAAAGGACTCAAGCCAAGAACAGCCATATCCTAAGATGCAAACTTTTTATCAACCCGTATGCATATACACAGCTCTGGAAGAAAAAATTATGCCTGCTGACCCTCCCTCCTAAGTTACCTCTCCTTCCAGTTCCAAGACAAGCCTCAAGACACCGTGAGCTGCTGGGTGCTGTGGACCAAAGTTGATCTGCATGTTCCGCACCTTCTTCTCGATTGGGGGGATGTTTCCTGGAAGATTTTGAGGTGGGCGATGCTTGGCAATTTCAGTTGAAACTAAAGGCTTTAAAATAAACTTAAGGGGAAACCTATATGGGGTGCAAGTTCGTCTGCTTCTTTTGCAGGGGTTATGGAGACGTGAGGACGCCATGCAAGCTCTTACTGGCTGATTAAAAAAAACAGTGGATCTCAAGGCATCTAGCATTGAGGTCTACACATCGTTCCATTCAAAGCCAATCAGAACTCGGCATCGTTCTAACGTCACCGCAACCCCTGCACAAGAAGCACACAGCTTGCTCTAAAGCATAAAGAGGAAACTAAAACGAAAATATCAGATATACCAATTAGAATTCAAAATCTTCAAACTACACACACGAGACCCTCAAAGGCCCCTTTCGTAACGGGTAGTTACAGCTATTGGAATATTGGGGATACCTCATGTAATTTGGTTCTGCAAGTTCAGACTCAGATAGATTCACTCCACCTTTTGATACTAAGAAAAGGATCAACGTCGTGTTCCCCTAACACAACTAACACGATTCAAACCGCATATTTGATTTGACTTACTGTTCCGTGGCAGCTTCACGAACTGTGAAGAGACCTCGTCAGGGTAGAAGACTACATTATCGAACTGTTTCATAAACTCAGCATCTGGATAGTACCGGCTGCCCCTGTAAATGGAGAGAGCTTCGATTGCACATCAAGCACGGAGATGTTATGACCACCGTCAAAAGAAAGCCATAATTTTTTTCCACCCGAATTTCGTCGCAGTTTCTCTCCGACGGTAGGGCACGTACTACTCAGAGCTGTCTCCGAGATCATATTCGAGATTTCTTGTTGGAATATCTAAACACCAAGTATACCTATTAAGTGCATTTAAAACCCCCACTGTGTACGCACGAAAAAGAAAAAAAAAAAAAGAATTAAAGTTAGTAGAAAACTGGATCACAGCTCCATGTAAACCTGTGCCCCTCGTTAGCACAAATCGACGGGATATTGAAGACCGTTGGGGGTTGAAAATGAAGGCTGCACATTACCTGACAAAGAAGAGACAGCTTCCAAATTTGGGTAGCACTGCGCTAGGCGCTTTACACTGCAAAAGCCTTGCAGCGGCTCCCAAAACAGAGGCCATCGTAACCGACGTAACCTTGCTGAGCAGGAGCCGGAGGCAGCAAGGAAAGACAGAAGTGACGATTCTTAACAACAGATGGCGCCAGAAAAAAAAAATTAAGTTCATAAATAAATTGTGTGCAAAATTAATTTAACTATAAAATTCTTAATAATGAGACCCTAGTAATAACGCTCATAAACATGTTAAAATTTGTTACTAGGTGGCATCTATCGTAAACAGCCCATCAAGTCCACCCAGAAAGATGTAAAGCTAAAATTTATCGCAATTTCATATTCATTAAAATAAATAGTTTTTAAACATATAACACGGCATTAGGTGAAAAAATATTTTTACTTTGGATTCGATTTTTTTACAGATTAACCAGAAGTTTCCGTCGTTGTCGCTCGGAGTGCTGCAATCGGCACATGGCGGCGAAGTGTGTGAATTTTGTAGACTTCTTGCAATCGGTGTTGTTTGTGCCGTCTTTCGCGCCTCTGCTAAAACAATTTGTGTAGCATAGTGTTTGAGCCGTGTACCAAACTTGACCTGAACTCTTGTTCTTATCCGGATTATATTAATATCGAGGTAGATTCACAAGAACAAGTGACAATGGCTGGGATAAGTGAAGAGCGCCGAAAGGAGATGGAAGAAGAGATGAGCCGGTAAGAACCCGATTATCCTATTATTTTTATATTACTATGTATTTGTTATGGTTTAGAGTTTATAAACTAACCGGAGTATGTACCCGATGCTTATTCTTATGTCGTTTCACGCGAAACGTGATCAACGATCACGTTTCGCGTGATCGTTGATGAAGTAGCCGACTCAAGTTTGACTCTCGAGATCTCCCGTCTTGAGTCTCACTTCTTTGAGCTCTGCTTTGTGCTATTACGAGTAGTGAGAGACAAAGTGATGTACGTGCTGCCCAAGCATTTTTCTTGCAGATGGAGAAACATGGCACGCATGCCAGTGCGTGCATTTATGTGACCCGTTCATTCGTTGTGGGACGGATGCACAGATGCATGCCTGTGCAAGAGGAGGATGTTTTATTTACTTGTCAGTTCAAGCATACGTGATGGCAAACGTTACGTCTGAATGTCCTTTCGTAGACTCTTCTGAAGCTGTAAAACTCAGTGGAAAATAGGAAAGGGGGTGAAAATTCCTCAAAAGTGAGTACTGACGGAACGTCATTTGAACAACAACAAAAAAGTGTGCGTGACGTTGTATGGATTTATTTGGTGCCCATGTAACTCTGAAATCTTAGACTATGTGGTCAATGCTTATGTTTGTCTTTCACAATATAATCAGGCCAAGCCATGGACAGGAATTGTTTTCGAGGGCCTCCTGGCACAACTAAAAGGCTGTAAGAAAATACCAACGTCAGATGCACTCCATATTATCCCACTGGCAACTCTCAAATCTTCTAAGATCTCCACATTTGTCGGAGCGCTCAGATAATTGAGCGAAATGCAAACGTGTCTTGTTTTTGCTTTGAACCTTGATGGTGAAAAATAGAAAATTATGTCAGCACTGTGTCATTTGGGAGTCTGTAATGTTTAGTCAAAAGTTTCGTGGAAAGGCATTTCATAGACAACGTTTTATCGACACACGTTTCATGGACGGACGTTTCGTTGAAACTGTGTTGCTTTGTGAACACATGCTGTTGTAACGTTTCGTCAAATTTTTTTTTTTTTTTTTTTGCTAGGTAGATTGATTTGGAACACTGGCTTCATTTCATGTGCTCAAAGTTTTTTTTTTTTTTTAAGTTTCAGTGAACCACCTAGGCGGCTCCGATACAGCAAAAACATATCTGCGTGCCCTAATCCTAGGCGTCTCAACAGACGACATGTAGCGCGGTCGCCCCTTGCTTTGTTTCACTCTGCTCACAGGAAATAGATTATAATTTCAGGCTCGAGGTTACGACGAGCCGCATCAAAGCCGCTGAGGTTTCGGCAAGCTAGTCTGCCATAGGGATGCCGGCGGACAAAGCGATGTGCACGAAAAGAAGCTGTCTTCAAATCAGAAGATGTGATTCGAATTCGGGCGCCTTTCAATGAAACAAACCATTGTTGAATTTTGTGGTGTCGACAAGGTTATCCGTCGATGAAATGCCAATCGACAAAGTTATTTCTGCTGGTCATTTGGTTTGTCAATGGTGTGTGCACTTTAGGAACTGGTGCCGCTCTCAGATTCAATAGTTAAATTGGATGTATGGAAAAAACGAGCGGGTTGGTAGGGATAATTAAAGTTGAGGAAGAAAACTAAAAAGGACGGACAACCACAAACTTCCAATTAGCAGCAACATTTATTGACAACAAGAGTTTGCTTATATACAGGAAAAGGGAGGGGGTAAAGAAAGGTGGAAAGAAGGAGCATTATGCCGTCAAGGGTGCGTCGTTGTCGGGAACGTGGAGGGGAGAAAACTCTGAACTAAGGAATCTTATCTATTTCCCCGAAAGGGCAATGGAGGGGGAACCGATGTTGTCCTTGGATCGACACATGGCGAAGGATTCTGTTATCTCCCAACCATACCTGGAGGTGTGACCCTTGATTCTTGTAGTAGACGGAAGGATGGCTGACTTTGGAGGCGGCTTTTTGGATTCAGGCCCTGTGACTAGTCTTGTGATGGTAAGCTCGATCGAGTCGTTTGAGTAACCTGCCTTGAGAAGGCGGCCTATCTGATTGGACAGACTAGTTGTGGAAAGGTGATGACATGACTTGGAATCGGCAGCAGCAATAAGGTTTCGAGCAATACCAGTTTTTATGTTTTTTGAGTGCGAGCTGCTGAACGGCAGAATAGGCTTCGCAGACCTCTGCTGATTGGACCATCGAAAGACTTGTCACAGGGTCTTAATCCAATTTTTGAGTGCATCTCCTACATTCATAACATTTCGCATCAACTGAAATCAATAGTGCAGGGCTTCAACACCAACTTGGTTTTCTTGTGTAAGTTTAAATTGGCATCTATTTGCAAAAAACATCAACAGCCCCGGACCGGCGCCCTTTTGCCAAAAGAACTGCAAAACCTGTTGCGTTCCTTGTCGCAAAGAGTGTGTTTACTCAATTCCTATGTCCTGTGGTGCCTGATACATCGTTCAAACGGGGCGCTGCTTAAACGGCTGCCTGAGAGAGCACACAAACGAGGTTAAAAAAGCGGTCTCCAACGGTTCAGAGGTTTGTCACCACCCGATCACCAAACACGCATGAATGTACTTCCTGCTCAGCCGTTCTTTTCTGTACTGCAAGAATCGGGGGTCACACCTCGAGCTATGGTCGAGAGATAATAGAAGCCTTCGCCATGTGTCGATCTAAGGACAACATTGGTTTCCCCTCCATTGCCCTTTTGGGGAAAGAGATTAGATTCCTTAGTTCAGAGCTTTCAACCCCCCAAAGTGTTCCCGACAGCGACGTACCCTTGAAGGCATAGTGCCCCTTCTTTCCACCTTTTTTCACCCTCTCCCTTTTCCTGTATATAAGCAAACTCTTAGTGTCAATAAATGTTGTTGCTAGTTGGAAGTTTGTGGTTGTCCGTCCTTTCTAGTTTTCTTCCTCAAGTTTAAATTGAATCATTCCTTCTGCTCTGCACAGCATATATTTTTCTCCCCTAAACTTTAGAAAAGTTTATTTGCTCATCACATACAAGACAAGGTTCTGACTTTTCATAAATACCGGGTAGGATGAGTCCTTGATGTTTGTAGCATTATGTGTAATACGCATTTGTTTTTCACTCCACACACTGGCTGTTAAAAAAATAAAAGTTGAACAAAATCTATCTCTTCAACTCGCATCTGAAATAAACGGCCACATGTTTAGGCACCACTTGGTATCAGCAACATTTTTCGTCATCTTCGCTTAGGTTGGCAATGCACAGATAATGTACCTTATCCCTAGAATTGCTACACCTTAGTTATTTTCATCACTACAGTGATTTGACACGAGAGCCTAAATCTTAAGTTCTGCATTTGATTGTGCTCATGTTAAGCACAAATGCATTGCTCATACCCAATGTTTGAATTGGATTTGGCTGCAGTGTTTCGGCATGGCAAGTACACAGGCCTTGGGGAGTTGACTGATTGCTTCATGGCACTGGAAGCATTCTAATCCGATTAGTAGGCTTCTTGAAGATGAGAACAAAAGAATTGGTCCTCTCTTATTGCTTGAAGTGTGTATCACGGGTTTTAAACTCCTTGAATATACAATTTTTATTTTCAGTGCCTTATAATTTTTAAAATTTCAATGGTAGCAACTATAGTGCCAATCTTTGTAATGCACAGTTCTAACATTATGCAATCGCAGAGAAAATCCAAAGAAATAGCAAGAAACAAAGTGCCACCATACTACAATTCAAAGCTAGAGCTCAAGTTGAAAGATGCCTGCATGTTCAGTCTACTCAGATGCATACACATTAAAAGACACTATGGTCGGCGTCAGCTATTTTGTGCTACGTTGTCATGGCTAGTGTAGCCTCTGCTGTGCTCCAACATTGTGAAAGTTAACTGATTGAGTGCGTGCAACTAGGGCACTAGACAAAGCCACAAGCTCTCATAGTAATAACGGGCTGCAGCACTATGGAAGCTATGCTAACCTTGTGAAGGTAGCACAATATAGTTGATGCCGAGTGTAGTAACAACCAAATGGAACGTTTGAAGTTAAAAATCTAACTAATAGCATTAATATTTTTTATTTCTTTTTTTTTTTCTTCATTTTTATCTGTTTTGTTTGTGTCTCATATAAATTCAGACTGTTCTTTTCATCTGAACTGTTCTCAAATAACTTTTAGCTAAACACAATTTCAAAAGAATAACACTTGTCATAGTCATACAATAAACCAAACTTAAAAATGCTGTTTCTCATAAAACAAAAGGTTCGATGGTTTTGAGGATTAAAATAATTTGTTATGCTACATTACTTCAAAGCACTTTCTTTTTCGGTTTCGTCCCTGTGTGTTATGGTGGTCGGTGTCACTGAACTCTAAAGAAAGCATGCTTTACTTTGGGTTACATTTTTATAAGGAAGTTGGTCATGCAAGCAATTAATGGGGGCGTATATGGTCTTCTCAGAGACCTGCTTGGGCCCTAGGTGAGACAAAGGTAAAGCCCCTTCTGGTATTTTATCGGGAGCTGTATAATTGGATGAGTGCTTCTAAATTCAGTTGGTTGCCTCGTCTGTAGCCCTGCAACACTGTTCTTTCCAGGTTTGAGCAAGAGATATTGATGCCGGAGCCCAGGATGCCTGTTGGATCATCGGCACACACGGCTGCCCCGCGAATACCGATGGGAGCGGCCATACAAATGCCTGGTCCCAGGCTGCAGATGAGGCCGCCGCTTCAGCCACCGCCTCTGCCTCCTCATGGTGTGGCTCTCTTTCTTTGGCCATGAATATTGCTTTTGGGAGGGAAGGGAAGGGGCGATTAACCTCCAGACTCATTCTTCGCTCATTCTCAGAAATGTGTGCACTTCCTTGATTATTAAATTACACAATGTTCTCCACAAATTTCGTGTAAGAAAAGTTTTTTTTTTTTGTTTATTGTTTTTTCTTTTTGTGGGAAGAGGAGGGGAAGGGACTAACTTATAAATGCAACCCTCATTCATTTCTACAAGCCTTTCCATGATTAAAAAGTTCACACAATATTGTTCACGAGTTCAGTGAAGCAGGACTGTACCTCAAAAATTGGCAGCAGCCTTTAACTTCAATGTCCTATACTGTATGAAATGTGTTTAAGGAATTGATGTGTCACGTGACATATATTTTCCTGCTAAATTTAGCGGGGAAACTGAATCGTTGTATGGGTCACATGACATTGATTTCCCCCGATAAATCTAGCAGGGAAACTGGATCGGTGTCTAGGTCGCAACACATAAATTTTCTCGCTAAATTTAGCAGGCAACTGAATTGGTGTGTAGGTCATGTGACGTCAATTTCCGTCACGTGACGCCACTTTCCCGCCAAACTTAGCGTGAAAACTGAATTGGTGTATAGGTCACGTGACGTCAGTATTTCTGCTAAATTCATTGGGGATACTGAATTGGTCTGTACATCCTGTGACGTCAAGTCACGTGGCACGAAATTTCCCTTTAAAATTTAGCCGAGAAACTGAATTTGTGTAAAGACGCTTCCAGGCAACTTTCCAAGGGCGCCGCTATCTTGGCATCCCGTGACCCGTCCACCATTGCCACCCTCTATTTTCCCGCTGCTGCACTAGGCATAGCACTACGTACTGCGCTTCGCCAACCACCGCGGGGGTGTTGTATACGACAAAATCGGACCACGAATATGTCGACACCACAAAATTATGGCCTAGGCTTCCGACACCATGTAAGTTCATCACATTTGTAATGTTTTTGCCAGAAATAAAGGTAGTTGGAACCCAGCGTGACTTCTGCAGACGTCGAGTTGACACAGCAAGGCTATCGCAGTCTTATCCATCGCTGCATGTGCATACTTTACTCAATGCGGTCTTGTTTCTTGCTGCATTTGGGCACTTTAATCACGTAAGCTATTTGGTAAGCGAAGAGCTTGGCGATCAGTGACAGGCTGGGACGTGTTGGAGCGGATTTTTCCTTATTGCTCATCACACCGCTCGGTTTCAGTAGATTCCTAGGAAACTTCGCTTGTCACCCTGGAGTTGCTCGCTTGTGGTCTCTGGCACTGTGCCTTGTTACTCATTGGAAAAATATTGTGTTCGATATTGGGTGCATCGGAATGAGTTGCATCGGAATGGGTGCATCGGAATTGTGCGACAAAGAGCAGCCTGCAGCCGCTCCTTGTCGCACAAACACCCGCAAGTGAGGTAACCGGAGTGCAGGCGCAGGCCAAAATGAAGGTTGGCAATGGCGGCCTAAAGGAGTGCACTGACTGGAGACAGCTCGGGTAACTGACGCGCTGAAAGCGTCTCTAGGTCTCGTGACATCAATTTCCCTGCTAAATTTAGTTGGAAATGCACAAACGGACAGATGGACGGACAAAATTTACTGATCAAGTTGTAGCAATAAAAAGCATTTCGTGCTTTAATACAAGACATGAGTTTAGAACGGTGGGAGTCAGCTTTAAGATCACCACTTTTAGCAACCTTGAAGAATAGGTTTGTTAGACCTCTGCTTTAGGTTGACATCGTCCGCTCGTGAATGATGGTCTTGCGGTTCCTATGTTCTTCCTCATTTGAGTGGCTAACAACACATTATATTCTTCACTTCAAATCAAAGCACTTGACAAGATTCAAGCTGCAGCACAACTTAAAAACCCTGAAAATTTTTTTTTTTTTTTTTCATTTGGAGATTTTAAATGGGCGTCTGTTGAAACTTTTGAAATCAGTACGGAAGTCTTTAGGGCCCCTTTGTGGCCCAGTGTCTTGTACTTAGCCTCTGGTCCCAGTCTCTCTGCTGCCATTTTATATGACCACAAATAAACTTGATTTAAAAAAATGTGAAGACAAATAGCAGAAGTGGCATTGCTAACATTTTTTTAAGTGATTTGTAAAAACAGATAAGTGATTCGTTAAACAAATTTTTTTAAATGCATCGCATCAATGTAGAAGTAACAGTAAAAAATTTCTCTAGTCCAAATGAGTGCAACCGAATAAAAGAAAAAAAAAAATTTGGGAGCACAGTTTTTATTAGTGATGGGCCGAACATTTGCCGAATCGAAAATCGGCGCCGAATCTAGGGATTCGGCAAAGCCGAATTTTTGCCAAACTTTCCTAAAGATTCGGCAAAAATACATTGTTACCAGACCTAAAAGTTGATATATTGTTTTATCGTGCCAAAAAAGTGTAGGCTTTTTTAAAATGCATGTTGACGCAGTTATTACTAAATAAGGTGATATTTTACAAGATTATAGTATCCGTGTCATTTTTGTATGTTTACTGGTATTTGAAAATGACTTTGTGCAGAAGATGTGTGACAAACGGGTTGGGCAGTAGCGGGCGCAGTCAGCGCAGTCACGATACGCTAGTTTTGGTTTCGAGGCCTCATCAGCGCAAGCGTACAGGTGTGTGTTATTCAAAAAAAGGCGGTAACACTGTGTTCTATATTTCCTCTGCGAGTCACCGCTTCGTGCGCAAAAATGAATGCAACGGCTGTTGGGCCTTCACCAGAAGAAATAACAATATTACTGTAAAAATGCGTGTTCTTTGATTTGAGTCACTTGACGCCAGCTTTGCATGAAAGTGTGCATCCCATATTCGCAACGTCTCATTTTTAACTTTTAAAAGGCCGGTTTCCGATGTTTGGGCACATTGGACGTTTAGGAAGGTGAGAAGAGTTAGGAATGTCGGATGTGCAGCGTTGAGCGTGATGGTTTTGTGTTTTATTTTATGTGGAAAGATGAAAGCCGCAAAATAACGCTAATTGAAAGCAATATTATTTTGTTCGGTCACAAACTACTTGTTAACCGAAAACAGGATTGCTAGAATGGCGAGGAGTGCTTTAAAGTACTTGTCAATTTTGCAACTACATCGCTGCATCACTGGAAAGATCAAATGAAAATCAGGTTATCCCGAATGTACCGCATCATTTGTTACTTGCGTAGTGGACTGCGGCATTTTTGTGTCCATTTCTGGTCGATCTTTTGTTCTTAAGGCAGAAAATATTTAAGACAGTCACACTCACAAAGGCTGACAAACACACGGTTACCCCGTCGTGCTGTATCCGCTGGTAGTACTACCAGTATTACTCTGTACGATGTTAACCGCAGAAACGCACGGCGTCCATTTGCAATCCTTGGCCCCTGTTGCATTCTCGCGCATGCGCAGACATTTGCCGAGTTTTTGCTTAATCTTTGCCGAACTTTCCTTCAAAAGTTTGGCATTTGCCGAACTTTGCCGAATCTGAAGTTCGGCAGATTCGGTCCATCACTAGTTTCTATACTTTGTGTCACTAGTTGCATGCAGTACAGGTGAAGGCAGCGTTAGGCGAGTGAAGAAAAGGCGAGCACTAGGGAAGGCTGGCTAGAAGGAGAGCAACCTCCTCTCCTCTCTAACGTTCCAAGTGCTGTCCCTTTCTCCCCTCGTCCTCCATCACTCTCCTTTCCCGAGCCGCCTTCCTAGTGCTTGCTCTTTCTCTCTTCTCCTAGCTTTGCCTTCGCATGCACTGCACACAACTAGTGACGCGATGTATAGATCCTCTGCACTCGAAAACCATTAACAGGCAAATGATCTTAAAGGGAAGATGGGGCACTTCTACATTCGAGAAAAAACGCTTGAATTGCGTTCATTTGGCCTTTATAATAACAGATATCAAAATTATATTTCAATGTGACGCACCGGAGAGCCACAAGAGCAATTTCAAAATAGAGCTGAAGCCCCGCCCCCCTAGCCTTGGGCAGCCAAAAGAGCCGTCGATGACGTCATGGACAGCGACTGTCTTTCGCGTTTTTCTCGCGTTTAACAATACTTACGCAGCAAATGGTTTGGGTATTCGGGTTCACGGGGTAAAAATACACTAGAATTCACTTCTAGCTCATTTTTTCCAAGAAGCTCCGTAGCTTCCCTTTAAAATCGCCAACTTTCGTCCCCCCCTTGTCCAGCTCCGCCGATGCCAACCGGACCGGCGCCCCACATGCAGTTCATCCCACACCAGCTCCGCCACCTGAGGCCTCCGCCTCCCAGGGGCTCCGCCCCTCCCCCACCATTCGTGGGAGGGCCCCTTATTCCTCCTCCTCCCCCTCCCACCTTCCTGACCTCCCTCTCCGCCACAGCCCGCTCCGATCCCCCTCCCCAACCTACCCTCACCCAACAGTCCGATCCCCCTGCCTCCGCCAACGTCATTGTGGCTGCACCGACAGTCTACTCGGCGCCTCCGTTCAAGAAGGCTCCGGCCGGGGCTTCCATGCTGCCTGCCGTAGCAGCTCCCCTTCCGGTCGTGCCTGTCGCCCCAGTCGTGGCCGTGCCGGCCATGATGCCGCCTACGACGGAAAAGGCCGATGCCTCAAGAGAGTCCAAGTCCAAGTCAAAGCAATTGTCCCACCACAAGGGCGCGGAGAAGCAGAAGCCGTCGGACAAGTCCAGGAACTCGGACAAGTCGGCTAGCGGTGGCGACAAGTCTGCGGCGGCCTCATCGCTCTCGTCGGAGGATGGGAGCGGCGTCAAGAAGCGCAAGAAGGAGAAGAGACTGGTGAGGACGGCTGGCCAGCAGGTGTGGGAAGACAGCTCGCTCCACGAATGGGACGCAGGTCAGTGCCAGTTCGTTCTTGTTATAGATGCTGGACAAATTTAGGTACTCCTTTGATCTACCCCCCTAACGTCCCATGTGTGTTAGCGACATACATACGCCAAGTGTGGGCAGTGTAAAGTGTTGTGACGTCACTGTGTCAAGTTGTTGGTTTCGTGCGACCTGATGTTACACCACGACTTGATGCCCAATGTTACTAGGGTTAGTAATGCTGTTGACACCGTGACATCGTGTGACAGAACTTTGCACCAATAGTTATGTGGCGTTGTGACCTCATGTGAGCTGGCATGACGTGATGCAGGTCACATGGCCACATGATCACATGACTCGTGGTGGCACGAGCCGCGGGAGCCATAGTGGTGTCCTGACCAAATTTAACTGATGACGGAACAGTACAGCTTTAGGGATGCGACAACTACAGATATCTAAACCTAACTTCCGTTGAAATGTGTTCTGCATTAAAAAGAAAAGCGTGTTGGTGAAGCATCTTGCATTGGAGTCTGGCAAAGAGAGTTAGAAGCACTCCAAACTAGAGGTGTGCGAACATCAAAATCTTTCGAATCGAATCGAATAATAACGGTTATGAATTGAATCGAATAGAATATTTTCGAATACGAATAATAGTTTCGAATAAGAACATTTTTGGAAACAAATATTTTCTATTTGATGTAAATTAAACAAGAATGCTCTATTAAAACACAACTGGAATTTTTTGTTCAACAAACATTTACGAAAAGGTTACTTTTATTGCAATATGGAAAATGTCACACATATGACTGATAAAAAACAGATGAAATAAAAAAAATCATCCAGTAAAACACCATTGAACGAGTGAAGTTACAGTAAGTAAACTGAAAGCACACAGGTGGATGTGATTCAGCAAGCCACAGCGAAGTCGGAGATTCTGTCGCGGACGAAATAGAGCGAGTGAGAGCGCAAACAAAAGTGCAGAAGCGGTGGCGGGTCGACAAGCCACAATACAAAGTCGAAGATCGCGTCACACAGCTGCACCGACTTTGTACAATCTTTTTTTACGCGGGTTAATGTAAACGGAACTACACAAGTGGAGGCGGGTCGACAGGCCACAGCAGAGTTGGTGATCGAATTGCGCAGCCGCACTGACTTTGCGCCATCTCTTTCCGTGTGCAATAGTTATGTCCGTAGGGGGCGCCACGAAGAAGCAATAAATTAAGAGAATGTTTTGTTTTGTTTTTGGTGGTGGGAGCAACTTTTGCTTTTACCAGTGATAATGGGTAGAAATAAATAACAAAAGGAATACTGGAAAACTGATGAGCCGGAAAATCAAGCGGAAAATAACATGAGCCAGATATTGCCGATAGCCGAGGTTAGTCGTAAGTCCATATCCGAATCCAAAGCACTTTGGTTACTGTAATGACTGTAGGAACGAAATCGCAGACATATGGTTGGCTACATTAAAGAAGAACGTGGACAGGAAGGAATACACGATGCTTCAGGCGGACGCCCGAAACGTCGTGTGGTCCGTCGCAATAAATAAAAATAAATAAATGCACGTGCCGTTGCAAATTGTAGTCCTTCGTCAAATCTATCGCAGCGTTTGCGCCACGACCACTTCGCCAACTTTGCAATCCAGACATCGGGGCAAGCAAAGGACCAGATTGTGCTACCGTGTACAAATAACTTTCCAGTGCTTCATAAAAACAAAGGCACTTAGGTTGGCTTTTTGGGTTTGCCAAGCTCGAAACCATACTGCACAGTCCAAAAACAAAACAGGGAGCTCGACCGCGAGTTGGCACTGATCAGCAAATTAAGCGTTGTTCGTTGTTTTCGAAAAATTCGAAGAACTCGAATACTTCGAATGGCAAAAGTGCGAAGCAAATCGAATCAAATAGCAAGCATTATTCGCGAAGTATTCGGAGTTTCAAATATTCGCTCACCCCTACTCGGAACACAAAGATACGTTGAGAGTCAGGAGCCAGAGCAGTGCCCTACTCTTCGCTTCAAGGGCAACATCAGTGTGTAGGCATTTCCTGGGCTGAGATATGGACTACCAGATCTAACTTAAAAGTGAAATATTAGAAACACAATGCAAGAAGGTTGGGTCAAAGGAGTTGCATTCCAGCGTTCAATCTCTTTTTTTAGAGATTGAACGCTGACATGATCACCGATGCCTAACAAAGTGAACAACATGCCACAGACAGCCCCAATATCAATACTCTTTTTACTGTCTCAAATACCTAAAAGCAAAAAATGCCTTGGAAAAATTAATTCTGTCATGTGAAAGAGTTCCTGAGAAATCCGTGTCCTCCTCCCAACTGGGATTATCCTCAGTTCTTTTTTTGTGGTGACATAGGTGGCGGAGACATTTATCAGGTAGTTAGAAGTGCAGCAAGTTGCATGTCTAATGGCATTCGTAATATATATATTTTTATGGCAACTAGAAATGCACTATGCCGCTGACTTCGAAATATAATAACTTGGAGCCCAGGAGGGTAAAGGGATACTGCAACAAAATTCTAGCGCCTAAATGTCAAGCATGTTCTGGTTACACCATAGAGACACCAATTGTTTGCTCGAAAAGACACCAAAGCATTACTATTGAAAAAGAATAAACCAAATGTCGTTACGTCACTATGCTCTTAAAAGCAGCGCCGCATTGCTGAAGTACGGCAACAAGTTTTGTGTGCACGAGTCCTGTCGAACTGGATTTCCCTTCTCTCCCAGCCTATCCAACTTTTGCTGGGAGCGGGGGAAGCAACTAAAAACGGCCAGGTTGTAACATATTGACAAGGCCAAGTGGCGGGGCTCATAACCATGCCAGCCCCCAAGCGGCTTTGCCCGTGCTGGACCAATTGACGTCATGTCTGCGACGTCAATCGGTCCAGCTCCAGTGGTGCATCGCGCTCTTCGATGGCTGATCTTCGAGCACTCGCCGAAAGTGGTCTTTTGGAACAAAAAATATAGCCATCCATTCAAAATACACGTGTACAATTGTCAGTAGCAGATTGAGTTGATCATGTTTAACTTATTTCTGAACGTGAGAGGTATATTTTAAGTTTCGATTTAGTAGCCCTTTAAGGCCTGTTCAGACATACACTACTCAGCCTTATAACAACATTTGACTCCATAAAATCCAGCCTTTTCTGGTTTGCTGGCACAATGCAGAACTAACCGAGCACTGGGTCAGTACTGACACTGGCAGTGCTGAATTACGGCCATCTTAGCAATTTGCTACATCTGTGAACCAGCCCCCCTTGCTCTTAAAATGGCAGCGCCCGGCAACTGTGCTGAGGGCATTGGGGGGGATGGGGGGGGGGGGGAATAAGGAAATCAGTGACGGCTCAAAGGAGTTATTCTTTTTGGTGCTGGATAACCTCTTGAACATCTAGAGAGAAATTGTTGAGCGATCAAAAAGTATGGATGATAATTCACGTCGTTCATCAAACTCTACAATACATTGTTTTCCTCCTTACCTCTTTAAAAAGCATTTTAGGCCGACTAAGTATAACACCGCATAGTCATTCTTAAACTGCGTTGAATGCATGCATGGTACCTTACCACTATCCTTTGCGACATCTTTATGATTCCTCTACTGGTCCAGCACCAACAGGCAGACCTAATAGGCAGACAACAATCAAATTCCCGTTGAGCCAGAGTATGCACCAAAGACTGCCATCACTCTTTTTCAAACTCTTAGAGTATGTATGAATACCTTTTGGGCCCGTGGAACATCACACAGACCTTCCAGTGCCTGATCAACAAAGTCATAAGAGGATATCGCTTCATCTTTGCTTGCATTGGTGACGTTCTCATGGCCAGCTCCTCTCTGGAAGAAAACAGACTGCATCTGCAACTACTGTTTGACCTGCTGCAGCTGGAAGTCATTACCAGTGCGAAGAAGTGTGTCTTTAGAGCCAGCACCTTAGACTTTCTCGGTTGTCACGTAATGTCATTGTTCGCCCTACCATTAAAAAAAAAGTATGGGCAATCGGCGAATTCCCTCATCCTATGTCGCATTGTGGGCTTTGCGAGTTTCTCGGGCTTATAAATTTCCACCATAGATTTATTCTGCACCGTGCCATGTTACAGCCCATGAATGGACTGATGAAATAGCACCAGCTTTTTTACTGTGAAAGAAGCTGCCACCTGTCTCATGAGTCATGACCGGTGCTTCTGGCACAGCTGTAGGAGCTACTACTACAGCAGCTTCTTGGCTGCCAGTGGTGGACACTTTTTCCCTCCAGAAACTGAAGCCCACGGACATGCAATATAGGAGCACCTTCAGACTTTAACTAATTGCTGTCTACCTTGCCGTCAGGCACTTCTGGCACTTTTTTGAGGGTCATGTATTCCTCGTCCTAATTAATAATAAACCCTTGACCTACACTTTTCATGGCAGCCACACCATCCACTATTGCCAACAAATGAGGCAACTTGCCGGCATTTCGGAATTTCACACGAAGGGCCAAGACAACTTGGCAGCGGACACTTTCTCCCATGTCAACACTCTCTCGGCGCTCTCTGAGGGCATTACCTTTGAGAAAATTTCTGCAGTGCAATGAGACGACCCTCATTTGCTTACCGATCCTGGCATGCTGAAGACTTTTGATACTGAGGACGATTTTCCTCCGTCATTCCACTTGGAACATTATCCTCTGGAATATGACCCCAGGGCATATCCCTTTGTGTCGTTAACACCTTGGTGGCAGGTCTATGACCACCTGCACAAGCCAGTCGTTACTACACTGTGGCCTATCGGCATTTCAAGCGTCCATTCACAAGCAATTATTTTGGTGTGGTGCGTAATGCTTGCGGTAGAGTGTATTTCCGGGAGGACGTGAGCAAAGACATCATAAATCCCATGCACTTTTAGCACCTCTGGAAACCCCGAAACTGTGTATTCCTGGACTCTGTTTCCTCCTCATTTTATCATTGAAAATTTTTTCAAATAGCTTATAGGTAGGGTTGTTCGTTTTCGGGTTTTATATTTTTCAAAATTCGGGGGGTAAAAATCGGGTGCTATTTTCAGGCTGATAATCGGGGAGAAATCGGGTTTTTTGAGGAAACATTCCAAAATTCAGGTTTTTTCGGGTTAAATATACAAATGTATATTACATTTGTATAATATAAATATAATATTACATTAGTTTTTTTTTGTTATTGAAGGGTATTACGAGCTATTTAATACTAACGCTTTAAAATTAGGGATGTGTTTCAAGCTGGTAATCGGGGGACATCAGGGTTTTCCAGCTTCGATTGCCGTCGGTCGCTTCAAGGGAAGCACCACCCATGGAATTCTCCTCTCTCTCAGGTGTCAACAAAAATCCCGTCCGTTCGAGGGACGGTCGTTTTCGATCAGATATTTCGCTAGTGAATGAACCTGTTAAGTGGTTCCGATCTGTTTACGCGACTGCCTGGCTCGGACATTGTTCGCGAGAAAGGTCGGACGCCGGCGAGATGGCGACGCTACCCGAGAGACCCTGCTGGGTGTCGACACCTGACAGCGGTCGAAGGGGGATTGATAGTGCATTTCACAAGATGCGTGCAGCAGGGCCAAAGCTATGTGGCGTGCCGAGTAGGTTCCACTTGCGCAGCGAGTGTACGGAAATGTTCCTCCGAGGTCCCAACGCCTATTGTCGCTTTTCTTCTGCCGGCCTCCGTAGAATGTCACGGTAATTTAGGCGCGCGCGTTGGGCGGTTGGTTGAGAGCCGTGTAGCGTCCACAGTGCTGCACGCAACTTGCGAAATTAACTAGCTCACTGTTGTCCCGAAGTAGGGTAGATAGCGTGTGTGCACCGCGAACTCTGTGCAGCGTAAAAATAAATAGGTTGGTTATGTGATTTTGGAATTCGGGTAGAAATCGGGTTTAACCCGATTTTCCTGAAACATGTTCGGGGTGCAAAAATCGGGTAAAATCGGGTTTTACCCGAAAACGAACAACCCTACTTATAGGTAACTTTTTAAATTCCTGAGACTTTGGCAACCTATCTCAAGTGCAGTGCTACGTACTGCATTTGGTTGGAGACTGGATGTTTGACAATGCATACATTAAATTTTTTGGGTGAGAAAAACATGGTTTCTATTCTTTCCCGAATGCTGCGCAGTATGTCACTTTCAACAGTGTCGCGAAATCAATGGGATCAATAATATGTGAGCAGAACAGGTGACATGCTCAATGTCTTTTTTTTCACCAGCAATCTGTGGGCTCACTTTCTTACAGATGACTTCCGCATCTTCTGTGGTGACCTGGGCAACGACGTAACGGACGAGGTCTTGATTAGGGTATTCGGCAAGTTTCCGTCGTTCCTCAAGGCCAAGGTGGTACGGGACAAGCGGACCAACAAAAGCAAGGGCTTCGGTTTTGCCAGCTTCAAAGACCCACAGGACTTCATCAAGGCAATGCGGGAAATCAACGGTGAGTCATTCTCCCGCTTCCCTAGCTAGGCTCCGTGGACGTGCACAGCCAGGTGTAATTCTATGTTTTGTGTATGTCTAGCCAGCGGGAAGTTGGTAAGCCTCAATGGGCCTCTGTTGCCTCCGCAGTACTAGATGAGAAATTTTGCCAGTACGGTGCGACCTCTAGCCTGGGGTCATGAACGTGCATCGTGCAAAAGTGGTTGACGACTGCGTGCCTGTGCTGTGCTCACCAACATCAAAACGGGCAGGGGTAGGTATTGAACCCGGGAACTTTTGAACCACATGCTCCAATTTGCATTGCGCTAACTTGCTTGGCCACCGATCGCCCCCCCCCTCGCCAGGAGTACAGGAAGACATTGAATCTGTGGCCAGGCATTGACGAAGCTTGGCCGGGGTGGCTTGGTTGATGGCAAATGTTTTTATTTGCTCCAGTGTAGTTGCTGATGATGAACCCAGTCCTAAATTATCGGAAGTACTCAGAGTGACAGTGTAATGTTTCCACTAGGGTGACCACCTTCCTGCCGGCAAAATGCGGGACACGCGGGGCAGGGGGGTGGTAGAGGAAATTTATTAACACGCACATCATGAACCGAGGCTCTGTTAACACATTTAATATCCTGTGCTCTCTATACACAGCAATTAAGCTCAAATACTTTTCACTCCCAGTGATAAATTTGTTTATGCCAAATATGTTATTAAATCTGTTGAATTTGTCAATGTAAAAATCGACTGTAGCAGAAGTCAATGCGTCAAAGGGAAATAAGAAACAGTAAATCTTTTTCGGGTTATTGTTTTCCGTCAACGCTTACTTTTATCAACATTGTCCTACACAATGTTTTAACATTATGTTCTTTTTCGACCGTTGTGAGTTGCAGGCAGAGTGTCGAACCGATATTTTTATTGGTTCGGTTCGGGTTCGGGTTCACGGCTTTCGGTTCAGTTCCGGTTCAGTTCCGGGGCGCAAAAAATAACGGTTCAAACCGGTTCGAACCGGTTCGAACCGGTTTGAACCGCTAAATTGAGAATATATTTTCCGCGTTGTTCTGTCAATAGGCGCTATTTAGGCCGTGAAACTAACTGCTGTAAACGATCTGATTTCTGCGAGGACCTATTTTTGAGAATTTCGCGAATCGCCTACAATTCGCGAAAAATGGGTCCCGCGAACAATTTCGGTAAAATGTAAACAGATTGAAATTTATATTGAGATTCCACCGCGTCGAGAAAATTACAACCCGCGAATTATTCCAAAACTTCAGCTTTGACCTAAATCGCGGAATATTGAGCCCACGAAAAATAGTCGTTTACAGTATATAGTTTTTTTTTATTGTTTGTTCAATTCAGTTTTATTCTCAGGTACCAAAATTATAAAATTCTGTTATTTATTTCTACACAACAAGAAAGGAAAATCTACATTAACATACAAAACGTCGTGTTTATACGACTCAACATCCCTTCGTTTACCAGAGTCACATATATTGTACCTGAATCGAAATGTTTTCGGAAGTGAAGTAGGTTGCCTAAAATACCCGTGATTGGTACAACTTTGTATCGCAGTATTAGATTTTGAATCGTGGTTTTGCCCTTGAACTAAGGAATTAATTACAGTGAATACAATCATGAAATGGGCACCTCGTCGCCATATATATCATGAAATGTGTTTTACGGAATACGTTTCACAATATATATATATGATGACGAGACGACTGAGCTTAAGGGAATATAATTTTCAAAATGTCACGAAAGTCACGGGACAAGTCCTTCCAGTCTATATTTTATAGGAACACTAAGCGACAATCTCAATGCTTGTTTTTCTAACTAGCATATTGTTTGCTCTCAGCACCATGATGCGGGCGACGAATCATGCGAAAAGGAGTGGCTGAAATTGTTCACTCTAACCTATGAGCACTTTAATACTGAGATCGAATCTGACCTAAAACAGTGCTTACCCATGTGAACATTTTCTTATAGTGGATAAACTGGCATAGCCTGGATGTTGAGGTTTGCTCTTGACAAAATGCAAGTCAATTTAATTTGCAAATAAGCATCACGCTCGCTAATTGATGACTTTTGGTAAATAGAACAAAGTGGTATTTCATGCTCTACTCAATTCGGAAGCTACCTAATTGGACACTTTCTGAGAGTTTAAGTGTGCAATCGTCAAAGTTCCACCATTCGTTCCAGTAAAAAAAGGTGATAGTAAAAACACATAAAAAACGCGATAATAAACTTCTATATATTTGAGAAGTTATATATGCGTGAGGAACACATATAGTTATTTAAATTAGCTTCAAAATAATAAAAAAAAAATTATTTAAATCTTTTTCAAACTCACCTATAACGTGTCTATACACCAACTCATGTTTACAAACAAACCGGAGCGCCCCTAGCGGACGCCACCGGCGCCGCGCATGCGCGATGGGGGTGTGGGCAAAAAGCTCGCCGTCGCCCATGAACAAACCATTGAAATGCGATGTCGTCGGCGTCGGTGTGAGTCCCCCTGCCCTTTTTCGCGTTCGAATTGTTGGTTGTACGTCTTCCTGGCGATGTCTGACTATCTTGAGCGGCGTCAGCGAAATTACCGAGGCTCGTTACACCGTAAAACTTCGCGTGAATAATGTGACATGTGGCGATTCATTCCGCGTGGACGCCGCAGATTGTACGCTAAAGCCTGATTCGCATGATGAGATTTCGCTCAGAATTTTCAGTCGCGACGCCGCTCGGGCTGCAAAAGCGTGAACCGCAGCTGAGATGGTTGACGACGATACTGAAAATCGCAAACAGAATCGGACCAACTGAATTAGGCATAACAAGTCGGTGTTGGTCACTGGTAACAATGACCAACATCTCCTTGTATCTACTGTTTACATCGAGCCTGCTTACCAACCTTCAAATTTAAGTCTTTTGAGGCCTTCACTCACTTCTTATCACAAGTACCGGGCCAACATTTGGTCTACGGACCGGCGTCGTCTAGGAGAGCAGACGACAAGCAGAAACGTTTGAAAGAGCAGACGACAATTCGAACAATCAGGCGGCCGTTTGAACTTGAAGACGCACTGAACGTAGTCCACAGGGGGTCCGCACAACTTGACGGTTTTCTGGCGTTCATGTTGGAACAAAACAAATAAATCTGATGAACACAAGTATCCGTGAATTCAACCCAAAGTACTTCCCGCCCAAGCAATCGTTGTCCGACGGCGTCTGCTTTTCCTTTTTCACGGCACACATCCAGATTCTCGGACAAACCGAGCACGTGAAAACTGACCTTCAAACCTTTCTCGACACTTTTGGTACGGCCCCAGTCGCGGCGTTTTGGCGAGAAGGCAGGTTTTTGTCTGGTTCCTTTCAAAACAACGCAGGAATACACGTCTGGCACGTCTGGCATGGGGACTTCTGCCCACAGCCCCAGACCGGAAGTGCGACCGACGCGCCACCACCGCGCCGTGACGTCACAGAGTTGAGTTGGTGTATAGAGGATAAAAGCACCGAAAAATATTTGCCGAACATCTTTCAGATAATTTAAAGGCGCATTTACTTATATATCTTGGAGGTGAGAATCTTCTATTTATGCTGCCAAATCTTCAGACAGGAATTAAGTATATTTTTATTATCATCGATAAATTTGACTTTATGAAGTTCACATAACCGCCTGAGACCGACACGGAAGGACGATACTCGAAAATACGCCAGCTGTTGTGTCTTCGGCAACGTGCTTTTGTTAGCTGTTTTGCAGTGTCAAATAGTGGGTTGCAGGGCATGCCAAAAAACACTGTGGTCACATGATATATTGGAAGGCAAATACACGAAATGTGCAGAAATAAGGAGATGACACGCAATTTTTTTCTAAATAATCCCTTACACAATGCTTTACTGCAAAAAGAAATGCATAGAAATGCATAAAATGATATTCCTAATTAAACATAGATTCCGCGCAGGGCAAACAAAGATTTTTTAGAATCCTAATATAAATCACTTTTGGGCATCAGCTTGCCTCAGCTCGAAACGTCGCGGGATACTACCTGGGGAGGCTAATGTTATCTTAGGTTTTACGTGCACTTGTTTTGAGACCTTACTTCATGACTCTGTTCTTTATCAGTCATGTGCTCCAACATTTCATTAGGCTGCCGTATATCATCGCGAGACTACTATAAATACTACACAACTTTACACATTGGACGTCTACTGCTGGTGTTGCGAACGTCGCACTTCACCAGAAAGCTGAAGTATTTAACATGGTTTGCACGTGACGTAATCGCACTAGATACTGGTTGTCATTGCGAGTTGTTCTTGCTGAGAAAATCAAATCCGGTTTGGCAAAATGCACGCTGCAAAAGTTTCGCGCTCAGTGCAAGCTATGTATTTGAGAGGCACACATTTTTCTTTTTGGTACATCGTCGTTAGGCACGGCGCGAGTATCTGGCACGACGAAAACGTGCTTTCTGGCAAGAGTGTTTTTACAAATAAAAGTTATACCAACTACCCATCTGTCACTATCGTTTCCAGGCCACGCTTTCTAGTCTGCGCCGAAAATGTGGGGCAGAGGAATCTTTACGACACAGTATGATTTAAAACTACCCCCCTCCCCACTCCCTTTTTTTTTAGTTGCTCCTCAAGATACTTTTTATTCCTCAGGGATTGCCTGCTCCGTATTGAGTGGTGTTCACTGGACAATTATATTTGTGTCACTCGTTAACAGTAATTCTTCCTTGCTTTAACTTTGCACCAAACTGTGAAGGTTAAACAAAATACAGGGCGGTCGAAACTTGGAAAACTTGAGAGCGACACTCCTGTGAGACTTAGAGCGGCTGCCAACGTTCGGCTACCCCCGTGAGGCCACTAGGATCTTTCTTTTCAGGTATCCCTCCCGTACACACTAATAGTTTCATGTAACGTCCGACTAATACGTCACATTTATACCCTTTAACACTTCTATTCTCGGGACAACTTTCTGAGGCAGTTCAGCAATAACGAAGACATGTTTGGGAGCCTCAATGGTGTGCA